GTCAGTTAATTGGAAGTGTTAGGGGTGTTGAAAGGATATATATATGCCTTTCAAAAAAAAAATTCATCTGAGGGAAAACCAGGAACATCTTGAGGTGTATGCCTTAAGAACATTAAAGTGTATTCACTGAGCCAAGGAACTGAAATAGTATCATCATTTATAAGTTCAGGTATGTTTGTTCCTTTGTCTCCTTGGCAACTATAACTCTTGAACCAAAAGAACAATTATTTTCTTTCACATCTATATACTAAAAATGTGTTTAGAGAAGGAAAGTGGTCAGGTTTGTTCCGGTCTATCTACATTGACCTAACCCCCCTCCTTCTTTCCTTATGAATCCATCCCTGAATCAAAGCCGTGCCTGAAAAGACACTAAATAGCCTAAGTATATCAATGGCATCCACTGAGAAATACTGTGTCCCTTTTGCTAATAGTTTTCAGTGTTTTGTAATTTCCTTAAACAGCTAAGAAGTGGTTAAAGGAATCTTAAAGTGGTAAAGGGATTTTCATACCTTGCAAAATGAACAGGAGTAAAATAAGACATAAACCGATTCCATGTAAGTATACACAGAGTTTTATTATCTTTGTTCTCTTTAAAATGTTTATTCAACAAAAGTGAAATTTAGATTCAGTGTAATAATTTTGATCTGTTAAAATTGGATTTTACCTGTACATTCCAGAATTTCTAAACAAGTTCCCTAGTTAGAAAATTGTAAAAGTCAAAACTTAACTTCCTCAGCCACCATCTCCTATATTAGTTGACTTATAAACTTGTTGTCACTGTGATTTACTTTCTCATTCAGGTCTCTCTAACTCTCTCATGCAGGTGTAAGGGATGGAATTACTTGAGAAATCATTTATTGGTAGAATTCATGAAGCTACTCAATTTACCAAATTAAAATTAATAACCTACTTTATTATCTCATAAAAATGTGTGAAGCCCAGGACCCAACTTTCAACATGTAGCTGTTGTGTAGTATCTAACTAAAGAAAGTTTTAAAAACAAGTTCTGGGGCACCTGGGTGGCTCAGTCAGTTAAGTGGCTGCCTTTGGCTCAGGTCATGATTCTAGGGTCCTAGGATTGAGTCCTGTGTCAGGCTCCCTTCTCAGCAGAGAGCCTGCTTCTCCCTCTCCCTGCCGCTCTGCCTACTTGTGCTCTCCTACCTCTCTATCAAATAAATAAATAAAATATTTTTTAAAAAGAAAAGAAAGTCCCTATGTGCCAGAATAATTGCCTCAGGTTTTGTAGCCCATGCCTAGTTAGGGCCTGGTAACTCCACTGAGGTTAATTTGATAATATCATAGATCTAGGTTAAAAGCTTTGTTACTGTACTGTAACACCTGTTTTGAATGAAGTACCTTAATATTTCATCAGCTGAGTTCCCTAAACTCTTTGGGTGTGCTCATTGACAGATTAACGCGAACTATGGTCTATTCCATTTTTTAAAGAAAATCAATTATTCATTGTACAGATCAATTAGTATATTGGACATTCCTTTAAGAATTTGTTGTAATTGGCCCTTAGACAGTTAATTGTGACCTGAATGTAAGCTTATATAGGCAAAGATTTTTTGTTTCTTTTTTTTTTTTTTCCTGCGGGTGTATCTAGCTTCTAGAGTGGTGCCTGGCCCATAGTAAGCATGCAAGTTTTTTTTTTTTTAATGAATGCAAATGAATTTCAAAACTTGGTGTTTTGACACCTTGATCTTTTGGAGAAAAAAGCCCCAAAAGAAAAAATGCCCCGGAACTTGTTTTTAACAGTTCCAAATTTCATTTATCCTCAGTGTATTATCAAAACTGTCATCTTCATTTGGTAAAATATTGGTAAATATGAGAAGTTGTGGGGCACCTGGGTAGTTAAGTTGGTTGGGTGTCCAATATGATTTCAGCTCAGGTCGTGATCTCAGGGTCGTGAGATTGAGCCCCATGTGGGGCTCTGCACTGAGCGTGGAGCCTGCTTAAGATTCTCTCCCTCACCTTCCTCTCCGTACAACTCACAGGCTCAGTTTCTCAAAATAATAATAATAGTTAATTTTTAAAAAACGAGAAATTGTGTCCAGTTACTTAAAGAACTACTTCCCAGGTAGCACCTGACAGACATATTGGGGAAATTGCCTTTTTTTTTTTTAAAAGATTTTATTTATTTATTTGACAGAGATCACAAGTAGGCAGAGAGGCAGGCAGAGAGAGAGGAGGAAGCCGGCTCCTCGCTGAACAGAGAGCCTGATGTGGGGCTCAATTCCAGGACCCTGGGAACATGACCTGAGCTGAAGGCAGAGGCTTTAACCCACTGAGCCACCCAGGTGCTCCGGGAAATTGCCTCTTGTTCAGAATCAAAATTGCCAAGATCTTTATGGCTCCTTTCTTGCCCCTCCCCCTTTCTGTAGTCTAGGTTCTCTGTTTAATTGACCTTAGGGTCACCTTTGTTGTGAGCTACTTCAAACATTTTTAGAAAAGTGGTATAGTGTAACATTTTGTCTTTCAAAAATCGCCTAGTATTTATGAACACTTAAAATTAGGAATCTAAACTTGAAAGTGGAAAGGCTGTTGCCTCAGTTTAACAAATAAGGATTGTATCATAGAAGCAAGTATGGGGAAAAATATTTTTCAGTAAGGAACAAAAAGATGAGGTACAGTGAAGAAACGTATTCTAGAGAAAAATTTAATGCAGTCCTTTTGTTAGATTGATTGTTGTACCATCCTGATACTTCTCAGGAGTTGTATTGCTTCCAGTATAAAAGAGTAGTCAGCCACAATGAATTCTGGGTGCTAGTGTAAATTCCAGGAAGAGGATTTGACCCAGCTTGGATGAAAGGTGCTTATGACTCCCAACAACTGAAGAAGAGTGAGGATACGTATGAATACATCTGCTATCCTTGCAGCCAAGTGGTTTGGGAGGTTGAGTAGAATATTTCCAGAAAAAGTGTGTTGAAAAGAAAATCCAAAGGTGTTCTCTATGACATACTTTAAGAGATAATCTAGTCAGTCTGAAAATGAATAGTTGGCAAGATGTAGACCAATGGGAACTCTTAAAATTGGTACAACTGGGGACTCCTGGCTGGCTCAGTTGGTAGAGCCTGTGACTCCTGATCTCAGGGACTGGAGTTTGAGACCTACGTTGAACATATAGATTATTTATAAATAAAAATAATAAAATTTGTACAACTACCTGAGAATTGAATTTAGCATTTGTAATCTTGCAAATTGTATACCCTATAACCCATCATTTTCACTTCACAGCATTTATAGGAAAACTACATGCTGCATGCACCATGGGGCATGTACAAGCAGTAGTGGTTGAATATTTGAAACATGGGCACCAACCAATCAGACCACCCAACTAATCAGAAACTGTACCAGCTATAACTAACAGGGTCTTACCGAAGCACAGCCACTGATGACCAAGTCTGCGTACAAGAAGGCTCATAGTTTTCACAGTAGCAAAAAATGACCCAAGTGATCATTGATGGGAGTATGGTGATAATTACAGTATATTCATAGAACAGAATTCTATACAACAATAAAAAATATTTACAATTTCTGCATTAGCAAGTTAAAAATCTTAAACTATGAAGAATACAAAGTATTAAATTTACAAACAAAATCTGTGTTTAAAGATACCAGTAAATCTTAAGGGAATGGGAAAAACCAAAGTCACCTCTTAAGGAAAGTAAGGGGAGGAGGAGGAACATACAGGATCTCATCAGTATTATGTTCTATTTCTTGGGTGTTAGGTTCATCCTTTTTCGGTGGGTAGTGGCTTCTCCAGTTTTTGTTATATGCTCTGCTGCCTGCATATATGTTACTATATATATTCTTTTGTACATATCAAACATTCCATTTTTTAAAGTATGTATGCAACACCATTTATGTAAAATTGTATCCATATGTACACATAATAAAATATTTTTATTAAAGAGCTGGTTAATAAGATTGCAAAAATCAGAGCTTTAGAAGGTGCTACAGGAATTCAAGAATGGCACAGTCTTGCACTAAGTACTCAGATGGGCGGAAGGCTTAAGTTGGGTCTTAAAGGATGGATATAAGACAGAAAATTTAAATGAAGATGAAAAAGAGAGAGCACCATATATGCCAGCTCAAAGAAGAAAGTTGAGAGATGCTCTGAGAAAAGCAAGTATGTAAGTCTGGAGTAAAGAATCAGTGGGTAAAAGTGGGGAGATATATTTAGAATGAAAACAAGGGTTTACTAAACTTTACAAGCGTTTACTAAGCATCAGTTACATCCCAGGCACTTGCCCAAGGGCTACAATGAGACCAAAATGAAAGATTCCTGTAGAAGAATTTACAGCTTAGAATGGTAGATTCAAAGAAATAGTGTAACACCACCGCTGCCACGGTATTCACACATTTCTTTGTTTAAGTGATCTCTTCCTCTGTTAATACAGTTATTTAACGTAGCAGAAACTTTGGGCATTACCCTTGCTGCTGCAAAGTTAATTTCTGATTCTGTGTCCTCCTACTATTGACGTTTCTCTTTATTATCTACTAGTGTGTGTGTGCAAGGCGCCCGGTTTGGTGCTGTGAGGTAGAAAGGAGCTGGGAAGACCTGAAGTCCCAGCCCCGCCGGGCCTCTCCATCTAACGGAAGGGAAGGGAAAAGGCTCGAATACAATCCTAGCTTTGATAAACGTTCAAGAGGAAGGGGCTAAATTAGGAGGCCAGAAGAGGTCTGGGAGGGTGGAGGCTTTCTGGCAGGACCGGGCCGAGAGGGTCCGCACCTCCAGGTAGGTCAGCAGGCAGCAGGGGCTCCGCACGCAGTAGCCGCGCGGGAGCGGGAGCGCTCCAGCTGGAGCTGAGCGGGGGGAGTGCGGCGCGCGCAGCCTCGGGTGGGCCCCGCCCCCGGCGGCGGCTCTGTGCGCTGATTGGCCTGCACGAGCCTCGCTCCCGGTTGGCGGGAGGTCTCCGAGCGGGTAGTGGCCGCTGTGGAGCGAGTAGCGAGCAACTGCCTGAGGCCTCAGAGCGTCCGGGGGAGGCTGTCCCTCGGCCCGGCCCCCTCTCCGCAGCCCCACGCTTTCGCAGGTATCTTCCGCTCGCGCCCTGGCTTCGGGCCTCGTCGGCCACCCTCCAGTTGCGGCTGCGCCTGGTCCCTCCATCCCTCTGGCAGCGGGCCCCGCCGCCCACCGTGTGAGGACGGGGTGGCATTGCGGCCCCTTTCCTACGCGCTTCCGCTCGTGAGTCCCCTCAGGCTCCCTCCCCGCCACGGGAACACGCCCTCCCAGCGTGCGGGGCCTGGGCTGGGGAGAGGGGCGGGGAGCGTCGAGGTCGGAGTTGGGCGGCGAGGGGAGGCGGCTACCAGCGGTGGCGTGGGCGAGCCGGTGCGGTCCCCTCGGTAGCTCGCCGGTCCCCTCCGTCGTTCTGTGGGGGCTTCGCGAGCGCGGTGCCCTCGCGCGGGAGGCCTCGGGCCTGCTGCGGACCGGGAGCCACGAAGGGACGACGCGCTCGCACGTGCCGGGCGGTGGCCTCCCGCCGCGGGCCTGGACTGCTGGTCGCGGTCGGGCTCCCCCGGCGCGCGGCGGGGCAGGCCCGGGGGTGGGGGGCGGGGACGGCCCTGGCCAACGTTATCCTCCAGGTGGGCCAATGTCATTCTGCGTCCGCCCCTTCTCCTTGGGCCGCCTTCATCACGTCTTCTTGCCCAGGCGCCACCGCACCGTAGTCGCGGGATATGAGCGGCTGCATCTCCGTGCTCCGCCCGAGCCCTTCTCCCGGTTTCGCGGTGCCCTTTCCTGCCCGGTCCCGCACGGCTGCAGGCCAGCCAGCTTCGATTTTTAGAACAGAAACTTGTGAAGTAATTGAACACTTGAAGACCGAAAAACCCATGCTTTGTCAAAATTGAGATTCCGCCTGTTAACTAATTTTATTCTCTAACAAAAGCGCATTTTATAATACCTAGGATCTCTGTCACCAATACAATTTTAACATTTAAATTATATTTATTACTGGAGATGAAATGAGGCTGTCTGTCATATTCTGACTCTTCTTTCCTTGAAAGGTACCGTTACCTATAAAAAAGACAAAATAGGGGCGCCTGGGTGGCCCAGTAGGTTAAAGCCTCTGCCTTCAGCTCAGGTCATGGTCCCAGGGTCCTGGGATCGAGCCCCGCATCGGGCTGTCTGCTCGGCGGGGAGCCTGCTTCCTCCTCTCTGTCTGCCTGCCTCTCTGCCTACTTGTGATCTCTGGTCTGTCAAATAAATAAAATCTTAAAAAAAAAAAAAAAGACAAAATAATAGTACTGCTGTATTTCGAGTTTTTGCTAAGGGTTCAGCACTGTGCTAGGCACTATCCATATCGTTCCTTTGCTCATTAACCCTACTAAATGTGGATTATTAACAATATCTAATAATTAATTTTTATTGAATACTAGTATGTACCAGGTTCTAAGAAAACAGGTGTTTCTAGTATCATAATATCATAAGTGAGGACATGGGTGTTCCCAGGAGTTGAATAGCCTAAGGTCACATAGCTAGACAGAATCCGGTCTTAGTAAAGGTCTATTCTCCAGTATTTTAACATATACTCTCAACTGGCTCCTCCTTCCTTTCTGCCTTCAGGCACACTTAAGAATCCTGTCTCTCGGGGCACCTGGGCAGCTCAGTCCGTTAAGCGGCTACCTTCAGCTCAGGTCATGATCCCAGGGTCCTTGGATCAAAACCCCGCATTGGGCTCCCTGCTTGGGGAGCCTGCTTCTCCCTCTCCCTCTGCCTGCTGCTCCCCATGCTGTGCTCTCTCTCTCTCCCTCTCTGTGTCAGATAAAGAAATAAAATCTTAAAAAAAAAAAAAAAAGAATCCTGTCTTTAAAAGAAAAATTCTCCTTTGATTATTGTCCCTTCTAGCTGCTTTTCATTTTCTTCTTTCCAATGATTGCCACATTTAGAAAAGGGGAGGAGCGTATGTTCACACTTCGTGCACATCCTTTTGTAACACATCACCTGTCATCCTATTCAGTCTAGTTTCCGTTTATTCCCACCACTTCATTGAAGTGTCTTGGTTTATTCACTAATGGGTTGGATTTCTAATCAGATATCAACTTATCGAAACGGCGGTGCTGTGTAATTTTACTAGACTGTAGCACCTAGAGCTTGGCTGTGTCTAAAAGTATTCTATAACCATTAGGTGATAAATTAAATTAGAAAAAAAATTTAAAACATAAGAATAATGGAGGTTTTATAATAGCCCCACGAAAGCTTCCAGCAATTTTGCCAGAATATTTTTCTTCAATTTGCTATATTGTTTTTTAACAATTTAAGTTTTGTGGTTATGATAAGGAAAGATGCTATAGTCATTTCAATAAGGACTCTTTTTTAGGAATTATTTTAGCAAAACAGTGATAAACCCAACTTTCTCCCCTGAAACAATGGCTTATTTAACCACTAAGTCACGGAGTCACGTGCATATTTACAATGCAAATGCTAGACTTAAATTTTTATAAAGCAAAAGCTCATAAGCTGGCTTTGTTTCCTGGCAAGATGACAGTGAGTAGTATTAGACTGCTTATCATGTGTCAAGTGTTTTACACATGACTTCATTTAATTTTTAAAAAGTTTTTTAGTATATGGGACTTTGGTGTCAAACAGTCCCAGATTCAAGTCCTAGTTTTACCACTCACTAAATATGTGTCCGTGGGCAATTTTCTTCTTCCCTAAGCCTCACCAAAGATCTCATCTAGAAAATAAGGATAAATAATGCCCATTTTATAGAAAGTTCTGAGGATTAAGTGAGAAAATGCATGTAAAGCTTTTAGCACATTGTCTGGCACATATCAAGTGCTTAGTGTGAGACTATAATTATAAGGAAGTTAAGTTTTCCCTGCCTGCCCTGAATTGCCATTGGATATTGCTCTTAGATTTTTCATATAGCCACACGAGTCCCCAATACTACTACTATTGTATGGTTCTGTGAACCACCACCCCTACCACTCTTTATATTACCCCCAGAGAAAAGAAATTATTTCAGTTGCTTATAGATTAACTGTGGTCTATTAAAAAAAAATCCGAGATATCCTATTCAAGTGTGAATTCTGGTATGATTATTTTCATGTTGGTGGAGTCTATGTAAAAACTCATTAAAGGATTTTGCCATATGAGCATAGTTTCTCCTAGTTCCTCCTTCTTCCCTGTCTCTTAGCTTTTCCTGATATGGCTCATATATTTTTTAAAGAGTTTTTTTATTTATTTGAGAGAGCACACGAGAGAGGCACAAACCGAGGGAGTGGCAGAGGAAGGGAGAAGCAGGCTCCCCGCTGAACAGGCAGCCTGACACAGCCTGATCCCAGGACCCTGGGATCATGACCAGAGCCAAAGGCAGATGCTTATCTGTCTGAGCCACCCAGATACCCCCTGAAATGGCTCATATTTTTATTTGCCTTGAATTCTTTTCTTCTTACTTGCCATGAGAACTCTATTCTCTCATTATATGTAAATAAAAAACAAAATTTAAAACTATCTAGGGGCACCTGGGTGGCTCAGTGGGTTAAACCTCTGCCTTCAGCCCAGGTCATGATCTCAGGGTCCTGGGATCGAGCCCCGAATTGGGCTCTCTGCTCCGCGAGGAGCCTGCTTTCCCCTCTCTGCATGCCTCTCTGCCTACTTGTGATCTCTCTCTCTCTCTCTCAAATAAATAAATAAAAATTAAATTAAACTAAACTATCTCAAGGTGAAATTTGACCAGGAATGTACCATTGATAGCTTCTGTCCTTAAGCTCCTCCATAACTTTCCAGCCAGTGTTTGCTGATTAACTTCAATGAATCTCTGTTTGGGGAATTTCACACAGTTCTTTCTCTATTTCCTCAAATTTTATTTGAAGTATCCCAACACATACATAAGGGTTTAGTGGAATAGTATAAAGCTATACTGTGAACATATTTATTCGATTGACAGTATTTGCATTCTATTTCACAATATATCCATGGTTGTCCTAATATAACAACACTATTTTTAAGTTATTTACTTAATACTGAGTAAAACTTACCTCCTGGGAGATATACCATAGTTATTCTATATTCTGGTACATTCCATCCCCAAGCCTAGCCCCTTCACCCCAGTTTGAAAAGCCCAAATTTAATTCTTTCTATCTAGTTGTAAGACTGCTCTTACTTTAAAAAAAAAGATGCAGATGAGACCTCCAGTTGTCTCCCCAATGAGGTCAGTAGGAAGGAGCAGAAAGCTCTTATGCAAGTCTCAAGGTATAATTTATCACTCATTCCTTTTTCTGTGGAGTTTGAGGCACCCCCAACTCCATAATTGCCTTCAATTAGGTTGGCCCTTAGGATCTAAGAAGATAGATGAGGTGAGGGGAGGAGAGTGAAACAGAGGAAGGAGAAGCGATTATAGAACAATTGAATATAATTTCCTCTGCCTAGTTCTTCATTATCTAGCACTTTGCTGTCTAATATGTAGCTACTAGCTACATGTGGCTGTTGAGCAGTTGAAATGTGGATGGTGCAACTGAAGAATTTTTACTTTTATTTAATTACTGGAGGAGTATAAAATATTTTTTACTTACACACTATTGTTTTGGTAGGACTACATTTCACTCTAACTGTTGGAAATTTAGCAGCTAAATTGAAATATACTGTATGTGTAAATACATACCAGCTTTCAAAGAGTTGGTTTAAAAATAAAGTTTGTAAAATATCTCATTAATTTTTATATTGCTTACACACTAAATGGATATTTTAGACATACTAGATTACATAAAATACTAAAATTCAGGTCATTTGCTTATTTATACTAATGGAATACAGCTTTAAAAAATATATAATTACATATGTGGCTCACATTATATTGGACATTGCTGATCTAGCCCTACTATATCCAATCTTACTTTCCACTCCTTCCTTCAGCAGGGAAGTTTCTGAGGGTCAGGAAGGAGATTCTGTACCTAACTCCTTGAACACCAAGGGAGGCATGGCTGCCTGGGTCACTGTGAGTTATGGATTTAGAGGTTCTCATTAGGGTCTCAGAGTAGTTTCCTGCTTTGCCTATGCTTATCTCCATTTCCTATTCTATAAATACTTTGGCCACAAAAGTAATACTAACTGTAGTAATTATATGAACTGATTACCACCAAACATGGTAGTGATTATGCATATTGTTAAGTATTGATGAATTAACTTTGTTTCTAATTTTGTTGGATTATAACACTGTACATTCATGTACACTTATAATCAGTCACTCAAATAATATGGTCATACACTTACAACTTTAAAAATTAGAGTGATCAATTTATGAGACTCCCTCAAAGCACATATACCCTACATTTCTTTGCTAGAAATGTTTGAACTTTTCAGTAAATACCAATAAATGCTTGTTGAGTAAGTGAATCGTGTAACATATCAAGGAATTAACCAATAAAAAAATATTTTGTGTGGGACTGCTTTCAATATAAGACTTGATATGATAATGATTTAGTTCTGGAAATAGTTTGCCTTTTTCCATACAAAATTTTAAGTGGCATATATAATAACTATATGATAAAATTATGTCAATGGAAGCAGAATTTTAAAATACTAAGAAAAAAGAATACCACAAATAGATTATAGACTCAGCATAGTTCCTATAATTAATTTTCAAATTTGGTTTTGGGGTCCCTAGCCATCAAAGAAAAATGGTATACAGGATCTTACTGTTGGGAAGAGAAGGTATATCAGTTACCCAAAGAAAGCATAGCATTTCTTAGACTGAATTCTAAAAGCAATTTCTTACGTGGGTCACTATCACAAATAACATTTTAGTAGCAAGTTCAGTAACACTTTATATGAATGCATCTGTAATGTCATCTGATTAGTTGTTTTTATATAGAAATGAACAAGAGTGTGGTAAATAATTATATGTTTTATTTTTACAGGAACCTTGGGAAACCAAAATGAGACATAATCAACTGTGTTGTGACACACCACCTACTGTCACTGTTCATGTAAAATCAGGGTCAAATAGATCACATCAGCCTAAAAAACCCATTAATCTGAAGCGTCCTATTTTTAAAGATAGTTGGCCAGCATCTGAAAAAAATGCACATAATAGCAACAAGTCTAAACGCCCCAAAGGACCCTGTCTCGTTATACAGCGTCAGGAAATGACTGCTTTCTTTAAGTTATTTGGTAGGTTTAAAACATTTTAATAGCGGTAATTGTAAAGTACTTAAAACTGAGAGAATCTAAAGGTCTACTTTACTGTTTTCATAATAATCAAAGAGGATGTTATTTTCTATGTCAGATTTGTGTCTCCAACCAGTTTGTTTTTGTTTTACTTAGGTCATTTTTGTTTTTGTTTTAATGTTGGGTTTTTGTTTTTCCCGATTGCTTTTGGTTTAGAAGTTCAGACTCATCTAGCTTCTGGGCTACTTAAATCCAAGTGTCAAATGTGAATTCTGGGCAATTCAAGTTCATATTATGAGTTTTGTGTGACCTAAGTAAAATAGCTAGGTGAAGTCTCAGATGAACCAACTGACCCAGTTTGATTAGGCCTGAGGTGTTTCCCAGGACTATCAGTGCTAAAACTGAGCAAAGTGGGAAGACTGGTCAACCTCGAGAAGCTTCAGTATTATATATAGGGAATATTTTTTTTAATATTTTATTTTTATTTAAGTATTCTCTTCACCCAACATGGGGCTCAAATTCATTCTCCAAGATCAAGAGTTGCATGCTCTTCCAACTGAACTAGCCAGGCACTTCACATAAGGGGAACTTGTTAAAAATTATGCTTTATCATCATGCTCATATAATGAAATTGAGTTTAAATTTATTTGCTCAGATCACGAGACAATACTACTTGCTGACAAATTTCTTAAAAAAGAAATTTCTTTATATTCTATTATGCAAGAAAGGGAAGATTTTTTAAGGTAAGGTAGTAAGGTATACAGATTAAAGAGTAGAATAGATGAATCTGGTAAATATCTGTAGGAATGAAGCAAGTCAAGTAGATACCATAGTCTATTAGATGCAGGTGACAGGCAGAAGTGTATAAGAGAGTTGGGGATAAGAGTGTTTGACCTACTCAGAAGACAAAAATCTTAAGAAAGGAAGGAAGGAAGGAAGGTGGGCAAGCTGGTTAAGATTTTAAAGAAAAGCAAAAAAGGAGAAAAAATGTAAGTAGTGTAAGTAGAAAAATGTTGAACTACCAGAATATTCCCTGTCAGGATCTAGAATGTTGTCAATATAAGTTTCCCTTTCTCTTTAAGACTAGTGCAAAACCATTACCCACAAATGTTTTTATTATTCATAACTGATCATGAGAAATAAGAGAAAATACCTGGCTCTACTGTAAGTAATCTAAGAAATAGTTGGGTGCCTGGTTGGCTCAGTCAGTAGAGCATGCAACTGACTCTTGATCTTGGGGTCGTGAGTTAGAGCCCCATGTTGGGCTTAGAGTTCACTTTTAAAAAATGAAATTAAGAAGAAATTAATTAGTCTAATAAAATGGTACTTATTCTTGGAATTTCCATATATTTGAGCATACTGATATTTCTAGGATGTAAAAATGAGTATAAAGAAGTATGTTTTGTTTGTTATTTAACTTAAAATGAAGGGGGTGAATGGGAAAAAGCAGATTTTCTCAGATTATATTCCGACAACTACTCATATATTTAGGGACTATATGTTTTAGCCTTTTAAAATTGAGTGTTTCTGACCTAATTTTGCATATTTTTAAAAGTATTTTTGTTAATCTTTTGTCATAATACTGTTTTTCCAAAATTACATGTTAATTATGAATAGCTAATAAATTATGAATCTTCTTTATATAGAGATTTTCATTGGTATTTAGATAATTGATAATTGGGCAGAAATAAATAGGAGATGAAAAGAAGAATTCAAAACTAAAAACACCCTGAGATCTAATAGGAGAAAGTAGTAGAAAGAATAAAACAAGTAATATTAAGTCATTATTTACTAAAGACTGAGTTATCTTTTGTCAGATTCCATTTCCACCAGTAAAGATAGATTTTGGGAAGTCATAAAGAGCTAATCTAGAGTTACCCGAGACATCTTTCTCAAAGAGCTATTGGGATAGTCAAGAAATCAAACACTTCTAACACTTCCCCTCCAGTCTGAGCAAATCAGATGGGAAACCCAAGAATAAAGCAGTAGCTTTTTGTACAATGCTTGCCATGGTTGCCAAAGAAATGCAAACTACATTTTAGACAACACTGGTCTAGCCATTTTTGTTTGCTTTCTAAGCACCATTTATAATCCTCTACTAGAAGTTAATTCTTCAAAAGGATTCTGTTTTTAAAAGACAAGTCATAGCTATCTTTTGTTGTAGATGACGATTTAATTCAAGATTTCTTGTGGATGGACTGCTGCTGTAAAATTGCAGACAAGGTAAATTTATTAACTGTAATCATTAATCGGCATTATTATGTTACTAGACCATCAGAACTTTAAAAAAGCCTTATAAGAATTTTTAATCATATTAATTAAGGTTAGAAAAAGAACCTGCATTGCTCCCTCAAAGTGAAGTCCTTACACATTAATTTTTGAAATTAGCATATGTCAGATATTTACTTTATACTTGAGGAATTGTAGAATATTACTGATGAGATTTAAATGGCCTAAGTCCATATTTGTTTGGTTGGAAATAAGAATGAGTATAGACTTAATATGTTTTGATCAGAATTACTACCTTTTTTCAAGCTGTGGAGAAAGAATATTCTGATATTCATTCCACTAAGGAAGTCTGTTATACATTCTGATATTTTGTAGGTAACTTAGATAAAACAAATCCCAATAATTTCATAGAGTAAAATTAGTTTATTATGTTCTTTAAGAATCAGTGTTTCATAAGAGATCATCATGATGCTAACTTACATACATAGGGACCATGATATTTCTATACTCTTTAGGTTTAGCTGAACAGTTATGATTTCAGCTTTGTAAATGCCATCTTAGACCAAGTAGTCATATCAGAAAATTCATTGTGACTCACATCACACTTAATTTTAATGTAACAACCAATGGGAAAGGGATGAATGGAAGACTAGCTTATGATTAAATACTTATTAAGTTAATACTGATGTAAACTTTTTTATTTCAAGCTTAAGGTAGCAAAGATAAAATTAGAGTTTGTTTTTTTAATTTCTAATTTTGGAAATTTAATTTTGGAAAATTTCAAACATATATCTTGAGGTAGAGAAAATAGAACAAAGACCCTCCATGTGCCCATCATGTAGCTACTATGATCATCAGCTCATGGCTCTGCTTGTTTCTTACAATCCTTCCCAAAACTGGATTATTTTGAAACAAATCTCAGACATCCTAATATTTTGTCCATAAATTTTTCAAGACGATGTATTTCTAGAAAATGAAATTCTTTTAAACATATTCACAGTCACTAATATTTTAAAAAATTAGCAGTAATGCCTTCATATAAAATATCTATGTAGATGTGCATGTGGAGTTGTTGAGTTTTCAACAGTAAGTGCATTACAGTAATTAAAGTTGCTGGACAGCAGGCGGCGGTGCTTTTAAAGTAACTAACTGGCATACTGTATCAACACTATTTCGAGTTCTCTACTGAAAGTACCTTGAAAATTTGGAATAACCTTTGTAGTCAATCCTATGAAGATAGGATAAATAGGTATTTTATGAGAGGGAATCTAATACATCAGTACTATAAGTTTTTAATTTGGATAGATAGGACCTGGCATAGTGTCCTAATACCAGCCTAGATACTTCTTTCTAATAACAAAGTTAAAACGCTGTTTTCCAATGAAAATAGAGCCATGTATTCTAATTTCTGGTTAGAAGTTATTTTTAAAAGGTTATTTTAAAAAGTGAGTATATGAAATTGCTAAGAGAGTAGATCCTGTGTTTTTAACAAAAAGGAAAAAAGATATATGAGGTGACGGATGTGTTGATTAACTTGACTTTGGTATTCATTTCACATTGTATATGTATATCAAATCATCACATTGTAAACTTTAAATATATACAACTTTGTCAGTTATACCTCAGTTTAAAAATTGCCACCCTTCGATCAGTCATTCAGTCAACCAATAAATAAAAAGTATGGATGTCTACAGTTAAGGAGTCAGGAAAAAGTTTTTGTATAGATACATGCATCAAGCCAATGTGGCAACATACTAACGATTGGTGAATCTATGCAAAGGATATATGGTTATTTGTTTTATTATTATTTCAACTTCTCTATGGATTTGAGATTTAAGGTAGGAAAAAATTGGCTTTTAGTTCACAAAATATTGGCAATAATAAAATTCAGGAGTTCTTCCTAATCTTAATCATGATAAATGGTTCAGAACTATTTCTCACCATGTACATGGACTACAGGAATCAAAAAGTAAGGACCCAAATAAGTAAGGAGTTCTGTAATAAAAATAAGTCATGCTTTATTGTTTTTAGCTTATTACTCATCTCAAAGATAACTATTTTAAAGCCATTTTACTTATGAAAGCAAAACATTAATATTAACTTTTACTTTTTTCCTTATAGTATCTTTTGGCTATGACCTTTGTTTATTTCAAGAGAGCTAAATTTACTATAAATGAGCATACCAGGATAAATTTCTTTATTGCTCTGTAAGTATGCTTTCTACTAAGTGATTTTTGTGGTTCTTATTTGTAATATATGTGATACCTTATTTAAAACACGCTATTTTGGGGCAGTAGCTGGCTTGGTTGATAGAACATGCAATTTTTGATCTCTGGGTTGTGAGTTTGGGCACCACATTGGGCATAGAGCCTACTTAAAGAAATAAGTAAATAAAGTTAACATTGTAACTCATAAAAAATAAACAGAGGCTTTTTAAAACCTGATATATATCTTTGAACAGGCCCTTTATATATAGAAGACATACTTTTTTACTTTAATAGGATATTTTTATGTTTTTTTCACTGATCTTATCCTGCTAGATGCCTAAGTATTCCACTTAAGTTTGTTTTTTACCTTTTACGTTTTTCAGAGTGCTCCATATAAATTATCCCAAATTTTCCTCTTTTGGATTTAGTTATGTTTTAAAAACAAAAATAGTCTCTTTGAAATTTCCAGTAAATTTATAGTTAAAATCATCATCATTGTCCTTTTACATTAAACAGCTTGTGGAAATGCTGTAGACCTACTAATTGTAGATTTAGGTCTATAACATAGAAGTTATTCATATCTGATACCTTTAGAAATGACTTAACTCTTTTACTTAAGACACTGAACTTTGACCAAGGAATATGGTTTGTTTTCCAGTTCTTCCATTGACTTTGTATTAGACAGTTCATACTAACTTTGTAGTCTATTAAATGGTTTTAATAACATGGCTTTCTGATCTATAGGTCAGAATTCTACTAGAAGCAATGTAATTTAAGAAAATCAATCTCAATCTCAAAACGTTTTCTACCCACTACCTAGATATAATACTACAGTTGGAAATGTGTGATATAATTAAAAGGACTTAACTAGGGAACTACATATGAATACTTAAGGTGAATAGCACAACTGTTAGCACTGATGAGTGAGTTTTAACTCAAAGTCTTTAACTCAGACTCAAAGTGTGAATAGGACTTGAAGAAACTGATCTCTTCTTGTGTTCAAAAGACATACTTCCCCAAGCGTGAGGAAAAATGAACTCTGTAACATTTGGTGATGCTTGCTAAATTGTGGGAATATAATAGTACTAGCTAATACTGAATATTATATGCAAGATATCCCAAAATGTTTTTTATAAGCTCCTTGAATCTTCTCTATGAAATACATTATTTAGTTATCTTCATTTTACAGATAGGGAAGTTGAGACTTAGGAAGATAAGTACTTTCCAATCTCACAAAAGTAGTAGTGGCAGAGCTCAGGTGCAAATTCAGGTGTAACTTGCCAGTGACCAAATTCAGTGATTAGCTACTGTTTACATATCTCTTTAGTATTATATCTGTATGTTGATGCAATATCTATTTTGTAGTTTTTCCCCACCTGAAAATTAAAAGCAAACCAGAAGAAGCTTTAGTTTTAATTCTTACCAGATTCCTGAAATTGGATTTGTTTGATGTTTTAGTAATCTTATAACCAGTAAAGCGCTGTGTCAGTTTACACTATGTAGTAGTATATGCAGTTGCATTTTATGTTGCATAATAAGTTCCATGTTAAAAATAACATGGATTATTAATTTCCATTTTGTATCTAATCATAATTTGTGTATAGCCTGACTTAATAGTTCTCAGTAAATATTTTCTCAGTTAGCCACAGTTCTAACTCGAGTTCTTTTCCCTTCTATGTATTCTAACAGCACTCTGAACTTTTATTGTCATGATTCCATATTCTCTTGTACAGTTATTTGTTTCATACTTAGTTGCCTCTTTTACTTGACTATAGGCTTCTTAAAGTCAAGGAATGTGTATCTTTTTTTTTGCATCCTTAACATATGAATGTTCTTAATTCTTTATTTGGATAAACATAATTAACTATTATACCAAAAAAAAAAAAAATCTACTTCAAATTAGAAGACAACTTACATATATACAATACAGATATTTTATCATATGAGCCTGAAAAATTGTTACTCTAGAATAGAATTACAATGTAGTCAGGATTTCATAGAACCATAGTACATTATAGATAGTCTGTGTTTTGCTTAGTCAATAAGCATGAAAGAGGCCAACCACTGGCTTCTATCTACCCTTGAATAAGAACTGTCAGGGATACTAAAGTAAGGAATTACTTTATGTAATTTCAGAGGACATGTTTTGACTCATATAACTGAATGGGTTTAACAATGAGGTGCTTTATGTTAAGGTAATATATGTACAATTTTTTAAGGGAGGATAAAGTAATATGTTGGTGAATTTTATATTAATATAACTAAATTGAATATGCATATACTTTTTTTGAAGGACATAAGTGGATATACAATTAAAAGTAAGTCTTCCTCATATCTCAAGACCTTAGTATCCTTCCTCAAGGATAATTAACATTTTATATGTATCTGTCTAGAAATAATTTTCTATACATGAACCAGTGTATATATCACCCAAATAGAAGTGTACTATGTACTGCTGTGCCTTTTGGAAATCTCTGATGTGAAATATCTACAAAAGGAGTGTATGATAAAGTGTATATATGTGTGTATGTTAAAAGAAAAAGCAAAACAAATACTCACGTACCCATGACTCAAGAAGAGAACATTGCAGAATCTTAGAAGCTCCCAGTGCAGTTTCCCAGATAGAGCCCCCTTCCTTCCACAGGTAGTAATTTTCTTGATTTTCTTTATTCTATGTATAAACCTCTAAATAATATATTGTTTAGTTTTTCCTAACTACAATGACTATGTAGAGTAGTCATGTTTTCTGTTCTTCTGTAACTTCCTTCTTTTGCTTTAGGATTTTGATAATATGATTTTAATACTGATATGAGTAGTCCTGGTTCATTCATTTTGGCTGCAGAATGATACTCTATTGTTGCTTTTATATTTGATTTTTTTTTTTTACTATCTTGTCTTTATGTCCCACTTTTTCTGTTTCTTCTTTCCACTCCATTTTTACCTTCTTTTTGATTGAGATTTTTAAAATTTTTACTTTTTGATACCTTTTGTCCTCTACTTGTTAGGAAATTATGCAGCCTATATCTGTTCTTTTAACAGTTATCCCAGTTACTTATTTTTTTTTTAACTTGCTAGATTACTGGTTTATTATAAAAGGATGTAACTCAGGAACAGCCAGATGGAAGAGATGCATAGGGCAGGGTATGGAAAAAGGGCATGGAGCTTCCATACCCTCTCAGCACATCTGATTTCCACATGTTCATCTACCAGGAAGTTCTATCCCATTTATTTTTAATCAAGAACATTAAGTATTTTAACTCCAGTCACCCCCTTCTCAACTTATATTCTCTTGTTTTGCAATTCTGTACTTCTACATAAAGCCCTCCAAAACCTTAGAGACATTATTGTTGTTGTTGTTGTTGTTGTTGTTGTTGTTGTTTTATACACTGAATATTTGTTTACATTAACCCACATGCTTACATCTTTGCTTACTATTCCTTCTTGCATCTCAAACGTTCCACTTGGGATCATTTGTCTTCCTTTCTTACTGCTTTTAAGAACTTTTTTTCCTTTGGTGTTTGTCTATTTCAGTATCTTCACACTTCAGGGTCTGTTTCAGTTTATGGTGCCTTGTTTTCTTACGTATTTTGTAATTAACTTTCTTGGAAAGTCATCTATGGGGTTTTCATTGTTTCCAGTGAGAAATCTCTGTCCTTATCTCTGTTTCTGTGTTATCTAACATGTCTTTTTTGTTTGTTTGTTTGTTTGTTTGACTGCTTTTAAGATTTTCTCTTTATCACTGGTTCTGAACAATTTGATTATGATGTGCATTGTTGTAATTTTCTTCATATTTTGTGCTTTGGGGTTCATTGAGCTTATTAATATTTTATAGCTTTCATCAAATCCCAAATTTTTCAAGCCATTTCTTCAAATTTTTTTTTTGTCCAGCCAGTACCCTTAGGGACTCCAGTTTCACCTCTATTATTTTTATTTCTTTTTCTGTGTGTGTCCATTTTGGATAGTTTATATTGCTGTCTTCAGTGCACAGATCTTTTCTTCTTCAATATTTAGTCTGTCAGTCCCACTCTATGTATTTTTCATTGTACATATAGTTTTCATCTCTAGAAGTACAATGAATGTGTCTCCTTATCTTTTTGAACATCTGGAATAAATATAACTGCTTTCATGTCCTTGTCTGTTTAATGTCTATTATTTCTAACATGTATCAGTTTTGACTGATGATTCTTTTTATTATGGGTCATGTTTTCCTGCTTCTGTGCATGCCTGATCACCCTCAAGTATTTAAGATGATACAGATTCCCATATGTGTATAAGGAATCTACCTGGGTGTGGGGAAGAACATAACAAAAGATTAGAGGGAACAGTGCCCTACATTTACCCAGGGCTGAAAATAGTGCCTGTTCCCACCAGCCAAAATAAACTCATGATTCACAGGGTATTGAGTATAATACTCAGGAATGTCTTGCCTCAGTAGCGGGGAATAATTAGTCCCAGTCTGAACATTGCTCCAGATCCACCTAACAAATCATAAAAGTAAGACATGAAAGGATCAGACTGTTTCCAACTAACTTAACTGCATCCCAGAACAAAGCTCAAGATTTATAGGAATACAAAAATATGCAGAACTCAAGAAGGTAAAATTCACTCTATTTCTATTTTTGACCTACATTTCTTTAATTATGAGTAAGGTTGAATGTCTTTTATGTGTTTAGACGTGATTGTGTGTATGTCTGTCTGTCCATCTGTGAACTGCCTGTTCATGTCCTTTTCTCATTTATTTTTTGAGTTGTTGGTCTTTTTTGTTAGGTATCTGGCTAATACAGTTGAAGAAGATGAAGAAGAATCCAAATATGAAATTTTTCCATGGGCTTTAGGGAAAAACTGGAGAAAATTGTTCCCTAATTTCTTAAAGTTAAGGGACCAGCTCTGGGATAGAATTGACTATAGGGCTATTGTAAGCAGGCGATGCTGTGAGGAGGTAAGATTTTTTAAGTACTTTATATATGTAATCTCAGTTTTCTCTTTATGTAATTTCCCTTGTTTTGTTTTTTAATGTGCTTCTAATATTTCATTTTTCATATATGTAAGAGTAGACTGTTAACCCTGATGGTTACCATGAGTACAACTTGTATATTACAATGTTGATGTTTTAATTTTATACCACAATAATTAAAAATTGTCATTTGTTTTTCAGAGCAGCCTACTTCTGTAGTAAGTATTTTTGTTTGTGTTTCTGTAGTCTAAAAGATCACAAATATATGGGAAAGAGCAGTGTGCACATTCCAAAATATGTTAATAACATTTGGAGCTGAATAATAGTTTCCATTAAATAAAGTTTGTGAAATTTCAAGTTCCCAAGATTGAAATGCAAACTGCATGGTCTAAAATTTTTAAAAATTTAAATATGTTAAAAATCATACCTCTTTTCACGTAGAATAATACATAAAGTACGTTTCTTTGGTGCCAGATTCTATTAAGATAAAACAGAAAGATACTAAAAATTAAATGATGGGTTATTTTGGGAAGCAAAAGCAAAAATGAACTATTGGGACTTGAACAAGATAAAAAGATTTTGCACAGCAAAGAAGATAGTCAACAAAACCAAAAGACAGCCGACAGAATGGGAAAAGATATTTGCAAATGTCTTATCAGATAAAGGGTTAGTATTCAAAATCTATAAAGAACTTAATAAAACTCAACACCCAAAGAACAAATAAATAATCCAGTCAAGAAATGGGTAGAAGATATGAACAGACATTTCTTCAAAGAAGATATAAAAATGGCCAACGGACACATGAAAAAAATGCTGTCAACATCACCCAGCATCAGGGAAATACAAATCAAAACTATAATGAGATACTACCTCACACCACTCAGAATGTCTAAAATTAAGAAGTCAGGAAACAACAAATATTGGTGAAGATGTGGGAAAAGGGGACCCCTCTTATAGTGCTGGTGGGAATACAAGCTGGTGCAGCCACTCTAGCAAACAATGTAATTAAAAAGTTAAAAATAGAGCTACCCTATGATCCAGCAATTGTACTACTAGGTATTTACCCAAAAGATACAAACATAGTGATCCAAAGAGTTACCTGCAACCCAATGTTTGTAGCAGCACTGTCCGCAATAGCCAAACTATGGAAAGAGCCCAGATATCCATCAACAGAGGAATGGATAAAGAAGATGTGGTATGGATATATGTACACATATATACATACACATATACATACAATGGAATATTACTCAGCCATCAAAAAGATGAAATCTTATTATTTACAATGACATGAGTAGAGCTAGAAGGTATTACACTAAGCAAAATAGGTCAATCAGAGAAAGACAATTATCATGATTTCACTCATATGTGGAGTTTAAGAAACAAAACAGGATCATAGGGGGAGGGAGGGAAAAATAAAACAAGATGAAACTAGAGAGGGAGACAAAAGAAAAACCATAAGAGACTCAACTATTGGAACCAAACAGGGTTGCCGGTGGGGGTGGGCCAGAGGTATAACTGGGGGATGGGCATTAAAGAGGGCAGGTGATATAATGAGCACTGGGTGTTATATATAACTGATGAATCACTGAACTCTACCTCTGAAACTAATAATATATGTTAATTAATTGAATTTAAATAAAATTTTTAAAATAAAAACAAAAGATGGGTTATTTTATCTAACATTCTGTTTTCACTAAAGAAAAGAGTTAATGTTTCAAACTAAAGAATATTCTAGAGTAGAAAATTAAATGGAAGGCAGTGATCATTGTAAACCTATACTAGTTCAGTGAAGTTTGGTAAATGTGAATTAGATAATGTTATAATGAAATGAAGTCATATCCAGTTAAATGATGATAGGCCAAAAGAGTCAATTAATGGATTAGTATCAAACTTCAGGGACTATTTTGGAGGTGCATCATAGAACTCTTTCCAGAATTAACTTTCTTAATTATATTAATGAGATGAAGATATTAGAAAGCAAGCATAATTATGGATCAGACTAAGGATTGTTGAATGTTGGGGGAAATGAAAGGATTCAAAAATAACCAAGAAGACTGAGTAGCAGGCCAAGTTTTTTCAGAATTGAATTCAAAAGAAAAACATGAAAAATCAGGTGTATGTACCTTCGCCATATTATTGGATCCTCACTAAAGGATTTAAACAATTACAGAGCATTAAAAGAGTCCTATATTGCTGTTTTTTATCACTACCTCCCTAGAGGATAAATTGTGCACCTGTGCCATTGTGGACATGATAGTAGGCCTTATTTGAACACTCTGATTTTTCCAAAGTAAACAAGTCCCATGGTATACCCAGCTAAGAGCATGGAGTGGGTACCAGAGGCAAGAGGCTGGGCTAGGTAATGCTCACCTCATGGCAGATTGCCCACCCGCTCCTAAGAACGACTTGCATTATAACTGCAGCAACTTAATTTACATGATTAGAGCTGGGGTTATTTCAGTTGCTGGCATCAGAGTGTTAAACAGCCAGAGAATGGTATGGCTTAATGGTGTATATGTAAAAGACTAAAAAGTTTTGGATCACTGTAAACTCAGTTGTGTAAATGAGATTTACAGAAAAGTTTAGTCTCTCAAGGCTTCAACACTGACAACAGATCTTTTCCCTAAATCTAGATGTGCATATCAAATTCCCTATCTATATTTCATTGTCTAGTAGATACCTCAGACTTAACATGCTGAAAATCCAGTTTCTGATTCCCCCACATAGACCTCCAAACTTAACTCCTCCTACAAGCTTCCACATGTTAATAAATGGCCACTTCATCATTCTAGTTGTTCAGTCCAAAAAAAAAAGTGTTGTCCTTCACTTCCAACATCCATACCTTAAGAAAATAATCTAGCATCCTACCATTTCTCACCTCCTCTACCACTAAGCCCTACTTTTTTCCCTCTTGCCTCAGTTATTGCCATAACCTTCCAAGTAGTCTCTCTTATAATCTTCCTCTCCTGTAGTCTATTTTCATACACCAGCCCGACTAAATCTTTTAGAACCAAGTCAAATCATGACTCCTCTACTCAAAATCCTCCAGAGGCTTCCCATCTCACATAAAGTAAAAGGCAAAACCCTTATCATGGTTCTACCTGGTATGCCAACTCTCTTACCTCTTTACTTCATCTCACTTCCCTCCAACTACACTGGTTTCCTTGCCATTCTTTAAACACAACAAGGACATTCCAAGCTCAGGATTTTTTTTTTTTTAGGATTTTTTTTAATTTGGAATACTTTTCCCCCAGATATCCGTGTACTTCGCTTCCTCCTTCATTCAAGACTCTACTTAAATATCATCTCAGAGAAACCTTTCCTTACCACCCTCTATCTAGTAGTATCTCCTGAAATGAAATAAAATTGAAGAGTCCAGAAATAAACCTTCACTTTTATGGTCAATTGAATTTTGACAAAGGTACCAAGAAAATTCAATGGGGAAACAATAGTCTTTTCAACAAATGGTGCTGGGACAACTGGATATCCACATGCAAATGAATGCAGTTGGACCTCTATTTCACATCATATATAAAAGCTAACTCAAAATGGATCAAAGACCCAAATATAAGAACTAAAAATTATAAAGCTTTTAAAAGAAGGTGTAGTGATAAATCTTCATTATCTTGCATTAGTTTTCTTAGAGATGATACCAAAAGTGCAAGCAACAAAAGAAAATAGAGATCATCATCAAAATTAAAAATTTTTGTCTTTCAAAGAACACCATAAAGAAAGTGAAGAGACAAGTCACAAAGTAGGGGAAAATTTTTGCCAATTATCTATCTAATAAGGGATTGTATCTAGAATTTATAAAGAGCCCGAACAACTCAACAATAAAAAGACAACTCAACTTTTAAAAGGGCAAGGATCCAAAAAGGCTTTTTGAAAGAAGATATACAAATAGGCAAAAAAGTACATGGAAAGATGCTCAACATCATTAACCATCAAGGAAGCATAAAATCAAAACCACAAGGAGATATCACTTCACAACCCCTAGGATGGCTATCATGAAAAAGACAAATAGAACAAGTGTTGTAAGGATATGGAGAAAATGGAACACTCATACATTTCTGGTGGGAATTTAAAATAGTGTGGTTGTTTCGGAAAACAGTGTGGCAGTTTCTCAAAAGACTAAACAAAGGGTTACCATACAACACAGCAATTCCAGTCCTAGTTATATACACACAAAAGAAATGAAAGCTATGTCCACACAATAACTTGTACATGAATATTCATAGCATTATATAAAAGTCAAAAAGTGAAACCTCAAATGTCCATCAACAAATGAATGGATAAACAATATTATATATCTATACAATGATATATCACTTGGCAAGTGAAAGGAATGAAGTAGTGATATGTGTTAAAACATGAATGAACCCTGAAAACATTATGCTAAATGAAAGAAGCCAGTCACGAAGGACCACATACTGTATGATTCCATTTCGCTGAACTGTCTAAAATAAACAAAGCCAAAGATAAAGTAGATGAGAGGTTGCCAGAGGCTGAGGGGAGGGAAAAATGGGGTGTGATTTCTTTTTTTACGGAGTGATGAAAATATTCTAAAATTGACTGTGGTAATGGTTGTACAACTCTGAATATACTAAAAGCCATTGTATTCTTTAAGTGGGTGAATTGTATGGTATTTGAGTTATAGCTCAATAAAGCTGCTAAAATAACAAGTGGTACCTCCCACTATTCCTCTGTATTTCTTTTCCCAGTTTTCTTCATAGCACGTAACCATCATATAATATATTCTGTTTCACCTATCTTGCTAATGTCTATTTACCCTTGCTAGAATATAAATTCCAAGAGGGCATGACCTTTATTTTCTTATTGTACTCCCCAGTCCCTAGAACAGTGTGTGGCATATAGTTGGTACTCAGTAAATACTGCTGACTGACAAAGTGAATGGAATGTAAAGCTTGCGATTCTTTTTCATACATTCTTATCTGTGTAGTAGAAAAACAAGAAACTATAAAAGTTCTTCACTGGGCTGATTTAGCACTGCCTATTACAACAGGGGCACATAGATAGGGTTTCTTACGGCTATTTCAACTAGGTCCAGTTGAATCATGGTGGTATATAGGAAAGGAAATTACCTGGACTTTATCCTGTTCTCTTAACTATTCATTTAACAGCTAAGTTAGGAGTAAGACTCAAGTTCAGTGTTGTGGGGGTTGTTATCAAGAAGTATTATATCATTCTTGCCCTGAGGTTTGATGCATTAAAGTGGCAAGACATGTTGTTAGAAATTTAGTTAAGTATTCTATGCATTTGTTAATGAGAGCCAGGTATGGACATTACTGCCAACCCGTTTCTTTAGTCTCATCCTAAAGTAAACCCAAGTTATGATAGTATTTACAAACTGGCTTACAATAATTTACATCTGCATTATGCTGTACAAATTCATAAATATTTTCATATAAATTCTTTTTTTTAAAGATTTTTATTTATTTATTTGACAGAGAGAGATCACAAGTAGGCAGAGAGGCAGGCAGAGAGAGAGGAAGAAGAAGGCTCCCCGCCAAGCAGAGAGTTCGATGCGGGGCTCGATCCCAGGACCCCAAGATCACGACTCGAGCCGAAGGCAGAGGCTTTAACCTACCGAGCCACCCAGGCGCCCCTCATACAAATTCTTATCCTCACAAAAATATCTGTGAGGGTTGTAGAATTCTCATTTGACATCTGATGAAACTGAGGACTGAGGAGGTTGAGGTTTACTCAAGATCATATGTCAGTTGAGTGGCAAACCGAGAACTTCACATTTAATGACTTCCCAGTGTTGTTTTCTCTGACAGCTAGCTTCCCGCTGCTTATATTGGTTAATTTGGAAAACACATTTATGGCTATTGTGTTATTTTATCTCAGGAATTAAATAGCATTTTTAAAAAGGACTGAAGTAGCATAAGTATTCTCTCCCATTTCTCTGATGAAGAAACTAGGGCTTAAAAGGATTGTAACTTGTCCATGGTCATTCATTTAGTAAGTGGTAGTGCCAGCTAGTACTTAAATTTGACACTCTTCCCATTATAAACCACTATCAAAAAACTTATTTCCTCCTTTCAGATAGTATAAATTTTTTAATTCATATCTCTCTCTCTCTCTTTTTTTTTTTTTTACCTTGGTTGTTGCAAAGAAGCTAAGAGCCAAGTTGTATACCTAACTACATTAATTCTATCAATCTTTACTATGGGCATGTCTGCTTGCTCCCTTTAGCCAAAGTTTTCCTTTTGGGTCCTAGTTTAATGATTTTTCTTTTTTCCTTTTTTTTTTTTTTTTTTTACTTTTTGTCAGCTGCCTCAAATCCTTTTTTGGAAAGAGATGAGATATGATTGAAAAATATATGTAGGGCTTCTTCAGAAAAGAGTAAAGACAACTTCCCTATTTATTCTGATCTTATTATCATTTTACAATCAGTTTAACTTTTTGGAGATCAGCTCCTCTGAGGTGGAAATTATTTAGGTTGATGATAGCTTAATTTCTAGATTTGTTCATAGATTATGGAATATGCCAATCTGATGAGAATGAGATTCCAATTCCAGTCAGTTTATGCATGATGGAAGGTGGCAGTTTTATCAAGAGGAAACTTTTCTCTGTTCTTCTTATGTTGTGATATATTCTGTCCTAGATGGCACAGTATCATCAGAACTGATATGTCTGTCCGCTACTATTTGATTCCAGACTAGAATTTAGAAAGTAGAGATGTGATATAAACAGAGTTTTGAACAAAATCCAGTGACTATATGTAGCAGAGACCCAATATAGGGAAGGTACTAGAAACTGTTAAACTTGCTGTAGTTCAGGAAGAAAGGTATAAACCTACTGCTAAAGATAGTGATGCCAAAGAGAAGTCAATTAAGAAATTATACTTGTCACTACTCGGTGACCAGTTGAATATAGGGCCCACGGGAGAGTGAGATTTCAGAGTTATAAATCCATAGAACAGAAAGGGTGATGGGTTCCATAATGGAAATAGGAATCACAAGAGAAAGAAACTGGTTTATTGGGAAAATAAGGAATTTGGTATTAGACATATGAATTCAAGGTGATATTTGGATAATCAATTTGAATGGTTAACACATATGAGTAAAGTATGAGTCATCACATATAAGTGATTTTTAAAGCTTGGTAGAGTAGATAAGAGATCAAGGTAAATGTAATGTTAATATTTTGGGGGCACTTGTCAGGTACTGTTTTAGGTACTGCATGTATGTTAACTCTCACAACAATTCTTACAGCTAGCTAGATAACCCTAGAAGAGGAAACTGAGCCACAGAGGAGCTAAATGACTTCTCTAAGTTTATACAGTTAGTCAAGCAGCACACTAGTATTCAAACCTAAGCAGTCTGATTCCAGAGTCAGTGTTTTTAACACCTACACTATACTATCTTTTGAGATCACCGAGAAGTAGAATATATAGAGAAAAACAGGACCAAGTATTAAATTTTGGAACACCCATCAAAGACACACACACACACACAAAATCACTAAGAATGACAGAACAGTAAAGTAAAAACTAGGGTAACATTTATAGTAGCTCAAGTGCTATTAATGTATTAATGCTTCAGAGAAGTTACTTTCATAAATCACAGAATTTGAGGACTGTAAATGACCTGTTTTCTCATTATACAAAAGACACCTGTAGCCTAGATTATGTAATTTGCCCAAGGTCATAGAACTAATAAAATTAAGACTAAAATCCTGCTTTCTTGACCCTCTTACAGTTTTCCTGGCAATTTGCTGTTATCACAATAATATTCTAATATTTGTATGTATAAAATACGTGCAAACATATTTAAAAGTATACAAGTATGTGTGCATGCATTTTTCTGGCTGAGGGAATGATACCTAGTTTGTTATACAAAGAATGGTTTGCTAAACCTATTTTGTGCCCTTTGCTTCCTATTTTTCTCTGCTCTTCTCACTAGAGTTTGCTATAGGATTCTTTAAAAAATTATGTTGTTGGAAGTTTATAATGTCAGTGGCTTCTAATTCTTAATTATTTTCATCTATCAATAAGAAATATACAATGACTACATAATATTGTGTGGAAGGCATTTTTTTGATAGAGAGGTGTATGAGACTAGTCCTGCCCAGAGGGCTTTCAGTAGATTGGTTATATTCATAAAAAGATATATCTGAGTACTAGACACATGCTTAAAGTCCTAATGTAGTATTAACAATAAAACAATACGATCTAAAAACTGGAGTTTTTAGAAAGGTGGGACTTATGCTCAGCATTGAAGGAAAAGCAATACTAAGACAAAAGGGAGAGGACATTCCAAAAATGGGAAATATAGATGTACAAGTGTTGAGGAAGAAATAGATAAACCTAGTTTTATATTGTTATGGAAATACTGTTGAATTAATATTTTTACATCTACTTTATTACATGTTTGTTGAAAACTTTTTTGAAGGATTTAAGAAATGGATTATAAAATAAATTCAATCCTAAAATATACTTTAAAAATTAGCATAGCTAGCATTCTTTATGCCATTATTTGGGGGGAGGCCACAAGTACCCTGTTTTCTAAGTGGACTGGTCTCAATCTGGGGGTTTTAAGGTTTTCATTTTTAACAACAAAAGCTTCCTTTCTTTCCAAGCGATATTTTATACACAATCCCTAAATTGAGGTTCTCCGCTTGATTGGTGTTCCCATCGCACATCCTGGGACCTCTAATACAGTCTATGAAAACCCAGAGCTCCTGAAACAAGTTGAAAATCACTGGTTTAGGCATTAATAAGGCACTGCCTAATTAACAAATTCTAAAATTGTCATTTACTTTGATCATTGATAACTGTAACTGAACAATTTTGCTTAGAAATAACATTCTAACACCCTGCTTAGAAATTTTAGACACCAAGTGGTCAAAATATGTAGGTATGTCTCCCTACTTTGACTTCTTAAATGATGATCATTTGCCAGCTGCTTACTATGTGATAAGGATTTTACACATATCTAACCCCCCTATGAGGCAGATAGTATCCTCATTTTAAATATGAAGAAATTGAGCCTCAGAAAGGTTAAGTAACTTGCCCAATACTGCCAACAACTTAGCAAGTGGCAGAGCCAGGTTAAGGAACTAAGTCCATCCTGACTCAAATGTCAGTATTTTATCTAGCCTTGAAGAATAATGCCCAACACGTAGCAACGAATATTAAGTGTTTTATAATTAATTCCTCATCTAATTCTTGCAAATCCCTCTAAAGGAGACTCTATTATTCTCTCCATATTACAGATAAGGAAACTGAGGAACAGAGAATATGTCCATTTTCTTATTCACCATTTCCCTTGCCATAATTGCAAACATATTAAGATTAGCCTAACATACATAGTTAGAAAACTTAACAATGTTATTTTCAACCAAGTATATTCCAAAGTTAAGAATTACATCTTGTTTTGGACTAACTGTATTATCTATCCCAAACTTAGAATATTCAGAACTGAAAAACTGGAAGGTTGAAATATTTGAAATAACTTAAGTACTTTGTATTATCTTAAGGATCCTAGCAGTGAGATCACTTTTAGGTAAAACTGTCTTATCTGGAGATGCTGCCGCCTTTTTTTTTTTTTTTTTAACATCAAATAATTTAGGTTTTTAGATCTAGTTTTAAAGACAGCTGCCTGTGAGTCATATTTTTGTACTTAATTTTACCAAATTTTAAAGTCTTATAAAATTCTAAAAGAAAGCTTTCCATCGTAGGTTATGGCTATTGCTCCAACCCATTATATATGGCAACGGGAACGCTCTGTGCATCACAGTGGAGCTGTTAGAAACTACAACAGAGATGAAGTTCAACTGCCCAGGGGACCTAGTGCCACACCAGTAGATTGTTCACTCTGTGGTAAAAAAGGAAGATATGTTAGACTGGGATTGTCTTCATCATCTTCATCCAGTGATACAGTAGAGGTGTTGGAGAAACATTCTCAGGAATCACACAACTCCTTCTCAATGGACATAGTAGTCGATCCTTCTCGAGCTTATAGCTATTCTCAAGGTATGATTTAGTACTATGTCAGAATTAGATTTATGTAAGTTATTAACAAATCCAAGTTATTTATTGACCTGTGGTCGGTCCTTACAGGCAGGGATACATAATAATTTTATATACTAGAACAATGAGTTAAATTAGTGTTGAAAGTCTTCTCCTTTTCAGTTTCTTTTTGTCTTGTGTCCATATCTGTTTTTGTAGTAGCTTACCTACACTAAAAGATTTTTATTGTGACTTATGTTAAATTGAAGCCTAATATACTATGAGTCTCAAGTATTTTGAAGTATTAAGTATTTGAAGAGCCTGAATCATTTTCTTTGAAATGTTTTATTCAATATAAGTTTCAAAAAAAATAAATTTATTTGTAATCTCACCAGCTTTATCAGTGATTAAGTATGGGTTTTCTGCTATACACTTTTTTAAATTGAGTAATTGATATATAATATTGTATTAGTTTTAGGTGTACAACGTAATGATTTGACATACTGTGAAATGATTACCACAATAAGTTAAAGTCTATCATCACACATAGTTTAATTATTTTTTTTTTGTGATGGGAATTTATATACTCTCTTAGTAACCTTCAAATATGCAATACAATGTTGTGAACAATAGTCAACCATGTTGCTCATTGCATCCCAAGATTGATTTATAACTGGAAGTTTGGATCTCTTGACCACTTCATCCATTTTGCCCACTGTGCATCCCCACCTCTGGCAAACACCCATCTATTCTCTGTATCTGTGAGTTCATTTTTTTGTTTTGCTTTGTTTTTAGATTCCACATATAAGTGAGATCACACATTTTTTTCCGTCTAAAGTATTTCACTTAGCATAATGCCCTCAAGGTCATCCATGTTGTCACAGATGGCAGGACTTCCTTATTTTTTATGGATGAATGATATTCCATTCCAATATTATATGGCTGAATGATAGTCTACACAAACCCACACACATACACACATTTTCTTTATCCATTCATCAGCAGATGAACACTTAGGTTTTTCCACGTTTTGACTGTTGCCAAGTGCTACAACAAACAAGGGGGTGCAGATATCTTCTTGAGATAGCGATTTTGTTTTCTTAGGAGAGATACCTAGATGTGGAATTGGTGGATCATATGGTAGTTCTAATTTTAATTTTTTGAGGAAACTCTATGCTGTTTTTCCATAGTGGCTGTAGCAATTAATATTACCACCAACAGTGTACATGGGTTCCCTTTTCTCCAAATCCTCACCAACACTTGTTATTTCTTATCTTTTTGATAATAGCCATTCTAACAAGTATGAAATGATCTCTCATTGTGGTTTTGATTTGCATTTCCCTGATAATTGGTGATGTCGAACACCTTTTTGTGTAACTGTTGGCTTATATGTCTTCTTAGGAAAAAAAAAGTCTGTTCATTGGCTCTGCCCATTTTGTAATTGTGGTTTTTTTTTCCCCTCTTGAGTTGTAGGAGTTCTTTATATATTTTGGACATGAACCCCTTATCAAATATATGACTTGTAAATATTTTCTCCCATCCATAGGCTGCTTTTTCTTTTTGTGGATGGTTTTCTTTGCTGTACAGAAGCTTTTTAATTTGATGTAATCCCGCGATTTATTTTTGTTTTGTTACCTTTGCTTTTAGTGTGAAGTCCAAAAAGCCATTGGCAAGATGAATGTCTCCCATTTTGTTCTAGTTTTATGGTTTCAGGTCTTACATTCAAGTCCTTAATCTATTGTGAGTTGATTTTTTGTGCATGGTATAATTTTTCTTTTGCGTGTGACTACAGTTTTCCAAACACCATTTATTGAAGAAACTATCTGTTCCCACTTCTTGGTTCTTTTGTCATAAATTAATTAACCATATATGCATGAGTTTATTTCTGGGCTCTCTATACTGTTCCATTTCTCTGTGGGTCAGTTTTATGCAAATACCATCCTATTTTTATCATTATAGTTCTATAATACTATACACTTTTCTATCTTCTATTTTTAAAAAGTTAGAAGCATACTATATCTAGGCTTGCTTTTTTTCACTTTATCATAAAGCATTTCCCCATATCATTAGTCTTAGGAAACCTGACTTTTAATCGTGACATGGTATAAGTATCATAATATATTTGCACATTTCATTTTTGTTGGGATTTATATGACTTTGAACAATGGTACCTTAATTAGAATATAACCATATAAACTAGAAATACTTTTATTCAATCACACCATAATTTTCATTCAAATTATATTTATAAAGGTAGAGTATTTCTGACACTTCTCAGTTCTCATTAATACTCTACTAGCAGTGATCCCTTTTACTTCTTATAAAGCCCTTCTAGATTTTCACCCATGTAAGATATAAGACTGAGATTTCTTATGGTTCTTCCTAAACTCTATAATGAGACCTGTATTATTTCAAAATATCACATATTTATTTTTGTTGTATCCTTATGAGATTAACAGTGGCTACTGAAGTTTTATTAAAAGAGAAACTAAACTCTTAAGACTCTTCAAGGTAGGAATCACATCTCAGTCATTGTTCCATTCTCTGGCCTTAGTAATCACTAAACAAATTTGACTGACTGTCTAGTCTCTTCCCTTCCAACACCTCCAAGCATAATTTTTATTGGTTCACTTGTATCTGAAGGTAAGTAGGATATACCATAGGCTAAATTATAAGATAAAAATTGCCTTTTAGCATTCTTCCCCTCTATCCCAGCAACTTTTACCTGTACTCTTTGACTCTTGTAAGATTTACTAGATGTTTAAAATGTTCCAGGCAATGTGTTAAAACATTTTGTATTGATAATCTCACTTAATGTTCACAGCCAACCCTATGATAAATACTATTATCTCTACTTTGCAGATAAGGAGACTGAGGCTTAGAGAGGTTAAATCATTTGCCCAAAGTGGTGGAGCGACAATTGAACCCAGGTCTGTCTGACTCGAGACTACAGCCTGAATTCCTTTTATGCTCTACTGCCCCCTTTGATGAAATCCTTTGATGAAATCTTTTCATCTTTGGTGGTGAAAATAAGCTGCCACAGAAGTCTTTTAGTAGACTACTAAGAACTAAGGAGATGGTGAAAGTACTAAGAACCAAGTTCCTGATGAAAGATTGTATGGAGTGAATTGGGAGAAAATTCTAGGCTCAATTTGAACAGATATTTATAGAAAGCAGAACACGAGTAGTTATGGTTTACTTAGACTAGATATCAAGAGTAGTAACACTATATTTTAGGCTTTGTATCTCAACAGGAAAGCACAGTGCACCCGGGGAAGAAGGGGCTCTGCCAGTCAGTTTGCTTTGAAAAAAAGAGCATGACTTTGAGGGACTGTGGATGAGAAGTGGAACACCTAAGGAAGTTATAAATGAAACTATGCTTTTATCCTATCCCTGGTTTAGGATATATACAGATCCTGTACAGGAAGGAACAAGTATTTACTCAATCTTCTTTTGTTCAGAGTATTAAAGTTAAATGTAAAACTTTTGTTTCAGGATGACAGAGGGTAGACAAAACAGAGAAAAATACTTGATCGTACATACCCTTGACCAGTAAACATATACATTCATTTTCCCTCAGTAGGTATAATTCGAAATGAGCTTTTTGGGGGTGTGGGGGCATTAAGGGTAACACAATCTTATCGGGAGCAGTGGTCAGTCTCTTATTGCCTCAGCAGCTGCTGATTCCCAGTAGTGACCTCTGCTAGCAAAATTTTCTTCCTTCAGTCTATATGAGGTGGTTGGAATCACCTAATGGTTTGCAGTTGCAGAAAACTCAATTCATCATTCTACAAGAGACACAAAGAGCCGATGCGCTACTTCAGACTTTTGTGCTAAAATATAGCAGTAGATGCTTATCAATGCTTCTGTCTTCAGACACAAGCAAGCAACTTCTTGCTTTTCAGGTAAAAACCCGTTTTTTTGCCTTTAAAAATTTCTCTCAGAACATGTTCAAAAAACAAGTTTTATATAAACATGCTTACGACATTTATTAGGAACAAAACAGTTGTCATTTTGACAAGGTTGGGAGATAAATGAGGCATTCCTTACGAATTTATATACCTCACAATCACCAATCATGTATATTATAAAGGTAGTCTCATTTAACATTGAACACCCCACTCAAGAAATCTTTAAGTGGCATCATGACACACTTTTTAGTGACAAACTCAGAAAAGTCACAGCTGTAAGGTAAAACAACAGCAACAACAAAAACAGCAAGATGGCTCCCAGTTCTATCTGAATATATAGCCTATTTTTACACTAAATGACACGTTCTCTTTACCTTATGCTGTTTTAAGCCTGATGACACTTAAATTAATCTGAAACATGAATATGCAGAGGACGCCTTAGATTTTAGAGTGAAGCCAAAGGAAAAAAAGCATATGCCAAATCTTATTCCTGGATCACATAGGCAGGAATGGGACATTGCAACTGTTATATAATCTAAAACCAAATAATTTTTCCTCAAAAAAAAAAATCCTTTTCTGAACTTATTTATTTCAATCACTACAAATGATGTAGTCATACAGGTTTAAAATCCTAATACTTAATGAAGGCATAATGAGGGCTTATAATTAATGATGTAACAGGGCAATGCTAATTACATGAACAACATTTAGGAACACAAAGATTCCAGAATTAATTTTGTAGGATGAGAGACTTGTTAAAGACTTTTTAGAGGAAGTAATATATGAGCTGAGCATTGACTAAGTCCTGCTTTGCCCAGCAAAGGAAGGGAAACGGCTTCTGAATAGCAGATGAAGCTTTGAAAATATATAGCTTCATTCTCTCTACATCCAATGAGTCACGAGCACATCTGGTTATTCCTTCACAATATTTTTTAAGTCTCTGCCTTTCCCTCACCTCAAAGTTGTATGTTACTACCAATCAACTCATAATGTATACTATGTGTTACTGTGAAATTTCTAATTCACTTGTTTTTCCCTTCCTTTACATACTCAGATGCTGCTTACAAACTAACTTTTAAAAAAATACCTCCTTTTACTTGACTGTAGAACCTTCAGGAGTCCCTACTGCCTCTGAAGTACAGAGTTCAAACTTCCAATTCTCCCATAGTCCATGAGCTATATGCCTAAATCTCTCCCTAGAACCAAAGCAACAAATAAAACAATACATGATCAAGTATGGGCTTATAGCCATCAGCACACTTTTACTGACCATTTACTGAGTGGAAAAGGTAGAAACTCTGGAAGGTACTAGGAAGACAGTTGAGTCAGTCACAAATCTGGAGGAGTTTACAGTATGATAGATGACAGCCAAATGTGAATTTAGAAAGCTAACTATAGAAAACCTCATCTGTCCCATAAGCAAGACTACAAACATGCTTAATGTTCTAGTGGAGACATGGAGAAAGGGCTTAAGCTGAACTACAACCATATAAATAAATGCTTATTTGCTTATATAGTTTGATTTTTCAGTTTCGCTTAATATTAGAATGGACACTGTTAAAGAAGACTTGTTCAACAACTATTGAACACAGTGTACCAAACAGAAACATAATGAAATAGGAATAGAATGGGGCACCTGGGTGGCTTAGACGGTTAAGTTTCTGACTCGATCTCAGCTCAGGTCTTGATCTCAGGGTCATGAGTTCAGGCTTCACGTTGGGACCAGAGCCCAGCATGAAGCCTACTTTAAAAAAAAAAAAAAAAAAAAAGGAAAAGAAATAGGAGTAGAAGGTACAACTTTTCTTTGCTCTTAACCCAGTCCCTTCTCCAAGTAGAACAATTACAGCTTGCATTCAAAACAATACATGAAGGACAGAATTTTATTACTGATTAAATAGAATGGCAGAAGAAAGGGAAGTCCGTCTGTCCTTCCTTCCTTCCTTCCTTCCTTCTTTCCTTCCTTCCTTTCTCTTGTTTGACACAGGGAGAGAGAGGACAGGCAGGGTGATCATGAGGGAGAAGCAGGCTCCTCACTGAGCAGGGAGCCCCACATGGGGCTTGATCCCAGGACCCTGGGATCATGACCTGAGGCAAAGGCAACTTAACCAACTGCACCACTCAGGCACCCCAAAAGGGAAGTATTTGACAGAACTTAAAATGTACTTCAGAGCTTCTAGATATCTGGCAATGTAATGAAAACTATAAAGTCATTATTACTGTATGAGTGTTCATATAATTACCATTAAGAAATATGACACCAGAAGACTACTCTGCTTATGATTCAGTCAGTTCCTGAAATGCAACCAGAGTGATTTCTTTTTTTTCAAAACACAGATCTAAACATGTTACCCTTCACTTCACTAAATTGTTCAGTGAGACTCTATTTTTCTTAGCATGAATAAACTCCTTAAGAGGTCTACAAGATCCTGCAAGGCCTGACCCCTACCTATTTTTCTGGTCTCTTTCACTCAACCTCAGCATTGCTGGCTTTTTGTACTCATTTTCCCTGTTATAATTAACTTGTACTTACCATTCAGGTTTCAGCTCAATTGTCACTTGCACAGGTAGTTATTTAACCAGAGAAAAGTCCCTACAATATTACTCTGTACTTCTTTGGAGCATTTATAACAATTTTAATTTTATATTTGTGTGATTATTTAATGTCTAGGCTTTTTTTTAGACTATAGTCTAAAAAGTCAGAGCTTTTACGTTAAAAATTTCCACATAATGAAAAATATGTAAAATGTTATTTAGAATATATATATTATTTTAAATAGCTCCAGCCTAAGGGATAAACCCAGGAATAGCAGCATTTATCCACCCAGGCACTACCCTTTAAAACCTATAAAACATCTATATTTAAACAATAACCTAACCACTCTAAGTTTTTGTTTATCTGTAAAATATGGATAACCTTAAAGATGAGCTACACATACTAAGTGAAAAAATTTCATAAAGTTCTTAAAACAATGTAGGGCTCCTGGTAAATGCTAAATAACTGATATGAATAATAAACCCCTAATTAATTCTGATGTTTTTTCAAACGAGTTAAATTGATTCTGAGAAGGATAAAAGAGATTCAAGAATTGTTACAACTTTCCTTATAATTTCTAAGATGGTTATATCATTATCAGTTTTCTTTCTATTATTTACTATAACCCAGATTACTTTTTAAGACAGATAAAATCCATTAAAATATGTACTTAAAATACACAGATACATAAAATTTATCTTAAAATGCATATTTTATTTTGGTAGCCAATGACCATCAATCAAAGAAAGAAAAGAAAACTAATTTTATGAAGAAAGACAAATCAATGGAGTGGTTTACAGGAAGTGAAGAATGAGATGGCTCAACTAAACCAACTTGGAATCATTAACTACAAAATGTCAAACTAACTACAAGACAAGTGTCAAAATGGGACATTTAAACAGTTTTGAAATGTTACACATCTTCCTTTAGCTTTTGTTTTTCAAAATTATATGTAAAAGTTATACAAATCATAGTGACAGCTAATAATTCCAACTTATGAAAGTAGTGATTCACAATATAAAGTTCTATTTTGATACTTTTCCATCTTCAAATCACTTGCTGTCATCTGAGGTACTCAGTTATGTTGTGGTTTAAACTTCCTTAGCTTGACAAGAAAAGCTAATTTAAGGAGAGAAAAAAGTAAGGTCATTACAAAATTAGAAGAAAACACCATTTAATATGGCTTGAAAACCTCACTCACCTGTATGACCAGTTTGCCAGTGTATAGGTCTAGCAATATAGGGAAATGATCCATATGGAAAATCAGAATGTGATTCTTCTGTTGTAGAACAAAATATATATTATAAGCTACATAAAATATCTTAGAATTTGTTCATAAAATTGTTAAAATACAAATTACTGCCCCTTTAAGTTTTTTCTCTCAGACATTTTTTTTCAGCATTTGTTTTGGAGCTACTCTGCTAGTTATCTTACAGAAACAATTTGTCAAGGATTAAATGATAAACATATACGGTTTTATAACCAAATGGATAAAAGCTTATATATCATTAATCAATGGATATTTGAAAACTTGTTCATGGCCTTTATAGTGTGTACACACAACAAGGACCTAAATTTACCTCTTTGAGGAATTCCAGTAGCATCTTGGAAGTTGCTTTTTGGAGCATTAGCTATTTGCATATCAGGTCCTATTAAATTCTTTCCCTTCAGTAATAATCACTGACCTAAATTTAAAATATCCTTTAATATATTTAAAGTATTTCATAAGCCAACCTCCTTGATACAAAAATATTAATACTATAAGAAGTTCAATACTTCAAAGGTATCAGAGTTTTACATAAAAGGCAAGAAGAGTCATTATTCTGTCCCTTAAAGATTTTAATTTAACAGAATAAATATATTTCAATTTCTCTACAGAAAAAGAACAAATCCCTGAGAAATAGTTTTATAATCATTGGTCAATACACTCAGGAACCTATTCTCCATTTATTATTACAAACATGTATGAAATAAAATTGAAGCTCACCAGTGTCATCCTCTTGAAACATCTCACCTTCAATTCTGATTTTCTTTTGAGAATGTAATTGTAAATCGGTGTTAATTTTAGGTTCTATTTTTTGAGCTAAAGTTCCATTTTTCTGTTTTGCAAGGCAAACCAACCAATCTCTAACAATTACTTCACTTATCTTTTCACATGAGAGAGCAAGTTCACAGATGCGAATTCCATCTAAAAGCTCAATAACCTGTGTGATGCTTTTAGAAAAGTGAAAAAAAAGTACTTTAAATTTCTATTACAATAATAACTTGATACTTATTTTAAGTTCACTATACCTCTTAACCCAAATTTAAATGCTATTGTTAAACCAAGGGGGAAATATAAACATGCAAGTTAGAGCACATAACACGCAATTTCATAGAATACTAAGTAAAAAAATACAGAGACTATGATTTAACATTATTGTTCACATTAAACTTTAAAAACTTTTTTTCGAAATTGTAAGAAATCTGCATCTTATTTTACATTCAGGTAAAGGGTGACTGCAACAGCGATATGTGTTGTTGGGACATACGTCATTTCATAACAGTTTTACAAGATGACGTATATAACTAATTCGGTTACAGAATGAACATTATAGTCAACTACTTGAGATAAAACAAAAGTGTATTTAAAATCACAGTACAAAGAAGAATAGCCACATTACTCACTTGGCTAGATATACAGCGCACACACCACCTTGTTTAAGATTTGGGTATAAAACAGGCAAAGCAACTTGAGGATTCAACATGTCCAAAGCTACCTGTCAGGGGGGAAAGCAAATCAGACTGAGTTTTGGTTAAACAAAGTACAGGTCTTCTTTCTTACTGTGGTAAAATGATATACTTCTGGAAAGCAATCACCCAGTTAAAATCTTCATTTTTTTAAACTCTAGTATTATTTGCTGCCATTTTGCTGCTCTCAAAAAGGCATCCTTATTATTATACACAGTGTCACAGTACTTGACTACATGAAAATCATAATGGTGTGTCTTGTACTTGGCAATATCAATAATACAGGAATCTTTCTTCAGCTATATCTAATATACACATATATATACAAATGCACATGTATACAAATAAAGTTTTACTGCTTTAGTTCAGCTTTTGTTAACAGAAATTCACATTATCTCAAATATGTATTCCTATGTTCAAAAGGAAAGTTATGAGTATTAATTTTAGAGATTCTAAAATGCAAGAATCCTGACCCTTAGTTCTTTATTCTTCATCCAACTGCAGAATACAGGGTTGTACTCATAAAAGATGCCAAATGAATACAATGAGTAAATGAAATTTAAAAAGCAAACTCATTTAAAACAAAAATAAATTTGGTCAAAATAGAAAATAAAGTGGCTTTTATTGATGGATAACTCTGGAAAGCTAAGAGTAATTGACACAACATAGTTACTAAACTAGAAATTATTCCATTATTTATGTGTTTTTTCAAATAGTATTAATGGGTCATCATTCATTATTAATTCATTCACCAAATATTTATGGAGTACCTTCCATGTGCCAAGCATTTTGCTAAGTAGTAAGAATATAACAGGAGCTTATATTCTATTTCGTTTCAAGGGAACATATATTCTAGTAAAGGGACAGACATTAAATAAAAATCCAATAAATATGTAAGTCAGAGGAGGATAAGTGACATGAAGAACTACAGAATTATAAAGCAGGATATGAAGGATAGAGAGTAATGGAAAGGAAGTGCTATTTTATACATAGGCTGGTCAGTGAAGAGACCTGAAGAAAATGATTAAGCTTACCCTATGGAAATTTAGGGGGGAAGTAGCTCCAGATGGACAGAACAGCAAATACAAATGTTCTGAGGCTGTAGGATACTTGGAGAGTCTGAGAAGGCCACTGGCACTGCAGTGGAGACAAAAGGGGGGAAATGGTAAGAGATGAATTGTGAGTATACAATTCAGTGGCATAAGTACATTCTGACTTATTTTTTAAATCTACACATAGAAAAGACCAGGAGAAGGCAAGGAAGGATGATGGTGACTTGCAATAGTAAAGAGCACTAGATGTGATAACCAGCGGGTATATATTTTGAAATGATAGAGCCAATTAGAATTAGGATCGGTTGTAGGATACCAGAGAAAGAGGATGAATCCAGTGTTTTTAGCCCAAGCCACTGAAAGAACATAGATGTCATTTTCTAATGAGGTGATTTCTAAAATGGTGAAGACCATGGGAGGGGCAGGCTTGGCAGAAATAATCAAGAATTCAGGTTTGGACAGGAGTTTAAAATGCCTATTAGATGCTAAGCTATAAGTAACCAAGAAAACTGTGTTTAGGGGCGCCTGGGTGGCTCAGTCATTAAGCGTCTGCCTTAGGTCCGGATCATGGGCCCAGGGTCCTGGGATCGAGCCCCATATGGGGCTCCCTGCTCAACTGGAAGCCTGCTTCTCCCTCTCCCACTCCTCCTGCTTCTGTTTCCTCTCTTGTTGTGTTTCTGTCAAACAAATAAATAAAATCTTAAAAAAAATAAAACAAAAAAACTGTGTTTAAAAAAAAAATGCCTATTAGATTTCAAGGAAAGATCTCAATGACTGAATCAAAGGGTCAACAGGATAAACATAAATGGGCTTCTTCAGCTATAGTTTGTGTTATTGACAAGGACCAAAAGAAACTTGCCAAAGCTCTTGAATACTCTCTGCTCCATTAATACTTCCATCCATCTGGTCACTCAAACCAGAAACTTGTTGGGAGTCATCATTTTCTTTACCTTGAATTCTCTTTTGAGAATCTGTGGGATTTTGTTGTTTCTGTTTGGATTAAAATTACTCAGGCCCACAAACCTATTAAGTTTTTCTCAAATTTATCCTGCTGCTAATGCCTTCGATCAGGACCTCATTGTATCTTGTTGTAACATTACAATAGGTCTCTACATAGACTCACAGCCTTATTCTTCCACCAGAATTACTCTAAAATGGAAGAGTATACTTATCTTGATGAGTACTGAGCAATATTTGGAATTGCTGAATCACTATATTGTACACCTGATGAGTTACTTTAAAATAGGAATCTGGACATTCTCCTCCCGCACTCAGGAACTCATCAGTAGTTCTCATTATTTATAAGAAAATGTCTTGGGGCACCTGGGTGGCTCAGTTGGTTAAGCAGCTGCCTTCGGCTCAGGTCATGATCTTAAGGTCCTGGGATGCAGCCCTGCCTCGGGCTCCCTACTCAGCAGGGAGTCTGCTTGTCCCTCTCCCTCTGCCTGCCTCTCTGCTTACTTGTGCTCTCTGTCAAATAAATAAAAATCTTAAAAAAAAAAGAAAAGAAAAGAAAATGTCTCTATGCCCTAGCTTAATATACATACAAATGTTCTTCATTATGTAGCCCCTTAAGACTGCATTTACAGCTTCATCTCATGATACTCAATTTCTACAGCCATGGTGTCCCATGCTTCAGTCTTTCCAGTAATTGTTTATATGTCTATTTTCTAACTGAAAGCTCCTTTAAATGTATAATTCATTTCTGTCTTAGCATGGTACATGGCACATAACAGGTCTTTCATGTTTGTTGAATCAAGAAACAGTGGTTCACTAATTCAGAAAATGAGGATAAACCCCGGTTAGATGAGTAAGGTACATTCCATTAAAGAGGTGATCTTTGATCTAAACTTTGAGGGGAAAATAGATTTTAAACAGGTAGAGAAAAGGAAAGAGATAATAATGATGAAAATCATAGCTAATATTTCTTTAATGTTTACTATACACCAGGTACTGTTCTATGTACTTTATATGAAGTATCTTATTTAATCCTTAACAACTCTATGAAATATGAACTATTACTATCATTCCTGTTTAATATGTGAGGGGACTAAGGCACAGAAAGATTAAGTAACTTATCCAAGATCATCTTGGCTTTTATGGGAGCCCAAGAGTAAACCAGACTGAATGGACACCAAAACTTATTTCCTCTTCTCCCCCTTTCTCTCCTCAGGTAATCATTGTCCTGTTGCATAGTTTTAAATTTTACATATGTGTGGCCATTCCATACATATTCCTTTATAATGCTTTTTTTCACTAAGCACCATGTCTTTGAGATACACTGATGTAGGTGTAGTACATTTATTTCACTATGTTAAATAACACTATTTTTAAAGTATTCCATTTGTCCATTCATTCTTCTGGTGGTTAGGCTTTTTAAATTTTGTTTAAAATATTTTATTAGCCATTTTTTCTCCTTTTGTTCTCTGTCTTTGTGGTTTAACACCTTATTTGTTCAATTTACCATCATTTTGGATGGTAGGAGTATGGGTCCTCCTCCTCTAATTTCTCATACTGGCAATCATATGACAGTATTACTCAAGACAGTCCATCAGATAAATCTGGTACGGAATATTCTTTTAGATCAGGGATGGTTCAACAGGTTTCTACAAAGCTTCAACGGTATCATTAAAATCCTTTGTTGTATTTCATGATCATCAAGCAAACTTCTGATGACAATTAACCTTCCAGGTAACTGTAACATTCTGATAGATGGTCTATGTAAAGAAATTACTTTTTTCTGGCCCTTACTGAGCTGTAATATGCAAGACAAACAAGGATGAGGAAAAAGAACTGTGGTCTTTGTATCCAGGAATCTGAGTCACCAAAACTACAGACTTTATTAATATTCAAGATAGGAACCAGTCCTGATTAAAAAAAAAAATCTCTTTGAACTTCATTTTTCAACTAGTTTCCCCATAAATGTCCTAAAGTAATCCTACTTTCCAACAGCCAATTAAAAAAAACAAAGACAACCTAGGTCTCAGTCTGTGGTGCCAAGCTATGAAATGATAATGGAATCATCAAGGATAAGGCAACTTACATTAGAATTCTGAACCTCTGAAGCCAACTAAATACCTCCATGTCCCACATCACTACCATCACTGGTCAGCCCAAGATATTCCCTCATCATCTATCCTTTCATCTTCATACTACTCTGTTTCTTCTCCCTAACTCAACCTCTCACTGGTCCTCCTCCTCACAAATCCATCCACTCCACCTTCTGGAGCTATGCTCATAATGCATGCCTCCAACCTCAGTATCTTTAATGAACACTCATCTACATCCTCATGTTAACTGTCTAAAGATGCCTCTTGCCTGTTCCCCCACAAATGAGGGTTATTTATTCCCCCAAATCTCACAACATGAGGTCAGGTACTGGGATATGCTCCCAAAGCTGCTCCTAAATTATTATTCCTTTATCCTAGAAATGCTGCAGTTCATGATGCTCAACTACTCCTCTTACTATCTGGTCATTACCCCACGCTTATTAACAGCTTTGGCATCTGATTCAGCATATCTCTCTGCTCTAAATCATACCATAATATTAAAGGAAAATATTCCTCCTACTCCTAGAGACAGAAATGGGGCAAATAATAAAGGAAAAGCATTCTCCACACAAAGGAAGTGTGATCCTTGTTTTCTACATTGTCAGTATTAGATATCATAGGACCCACTTTAGAAAACTTACCGCATCAAATGTTAAAGTTTTTATGTCTTCGGTTGCTCCTGAAATATCCTTATGAATAAAATTCACGTTGTCTGGCCACTCATCTACATGACTCATTTTCCATGAATCACACCAGTTTTTATAATTCCTCTTAGCCAATTCATGGTGGTCTTTTCGTGCTTCAAAACTTATGACTCGTCCTTGTGATCCAACTTAATTTAAAAAAAAAAGAATTTATATTTCACTGTATTGTATCATTTCATAAAAGAATATAAAAAATATTCTGCAAAGGTATTACATTAATGTGAAAAAATAATTCAAATAGTTCAAGGTTAGAAAACTATCCTATCCCAGATCCTTAATCAATTTTCCTCTCCAGAGGAACCATATTACCAGGTATTTACTCTGCAAGATACCTAGTGCCAAGTGTCTTTCCCTGTTTTTAACACATTAAAACATACATGTATTGTATATACTGTCCTATACTTCCTCCTACTTACCAGTGTTATTTCAGTGATTAATAATCTACTCCATTCCTTTTAAGAGCTACTATGGTATGGCTATACCATAGTTTATTTAACTGGTCATCTACTGATGAACATTCAGCTTGTTTCTAGCCTGATGCTACTAACAAACAATATTGCAATGAAAATTGTTGCCTAAACCTTTGTATCCATGAAAAGACAAAGTCGTCAAAATGAAATTACAAGCTCAAGAGGTATGTGACTTGTTTATTTTGAAATTGCCAAATTAGCTTCCAAAAAATAATATCAATTTATATTCTACAAACAATGTAGTAAAGTGCCTATTTCTCCATACTTTCTCCAACAAAAACTTTCCAAACTTTTAATTTGTGTCAATCTAAAAACTAAATATAGTTTTATCATTGTAGTTGTAATTTACATTTCTTTTGTTGTGGATGAAACCCTGAACCCTAGCCCTAATCCTAAACCTAATCTATGTTACGCATCACTACACTCTTTAGGGTAAATACCCAGTAGTGCAATTGCTGGGTTGTAGGGTAGCTCTATTTTCATTTCTTTTGTTATGGATGTTAATATGGATGTTAGGCATTTCATATATTTAAAAGATATTTGTACTTTTGTGTGTATCTGAAGAACTTTTAAACTGTTTGGCATAGTAATAGTTTCTGCAGAAGACTATGCATTTTAATTAAAGGCGATTAATTTCCCACCCACCTCTATTTGAGGTTATTTGATATCATTTAGAAGTTGTCCTAGATCAGTAAGTCTACAGTTTACTAATGAAAAATTTAAATTCTAGAACGTCTTTTGAAATAAAACTCCAGCTGCAATTCATCATGTTCTCAAGGGACAGAATTTAATGTTAACAATAGCATATGCTAAATAATTGGAAAAGAATTTTATGGAGGAAAAAAAAAATCCATCGCAAAGATAAATAGCAGTAATTTCTCGATCGCTCATAGTTTGGGATTATTCATGCCATGACACTCCAACACTGTAGACGTTAGAAACACGGGCGCTCCTCCTCTCCCACAGATTTTTATAAATTCTCTCTGTCAGATGCATTTAGGATTCAGTTACTGATTGCGAAGAAATGACTGCCTTTAACTATGTACAGAAAAGAATAAAAAAAGATTTGAGGAGGCCAGAATGAATTTCCTGACCTAGTATAAACTGGATTATGTCTGTATGTGATGCCATTAAGTGAAAGAACAAAAAGTTTAATTCCGTATATTTCTATCGGTATTCTTTATACAAGCTACCCACATGCACCTATGACAGCTCTAACAAAGTTTATTATTTAAAAAAGAATGCACTAAAGAGAACGTGAATGGTTTAAAAAAAAAAAAAAATCTACCCACAGAGAGTGCGGTCACTGTTCAGTGGTCTGTCATTAACCGAGGAAGAACAACTGCACCAGCAGCCAGAGCAGCCAATGCAATCCTGACACTCAGAGGAATTAAACAGTCAACGGGAGCAATAATCAATTAGATATTTATGTTTACTGTATACCTCTTGATTTTTGATGAGGTGCTGCCCTCAAGCAATACATTTACCAACTGACAATTTTTAGAGACTTTGCAGCTGAGCGCCCTCTACATTTTATCTTCTCTCCTACTGAATCTTTATCTGGAATTGTTATTAACAAAAACAGGTACACATATGAACCAAAAGACAAATACAAGAATGTTCAGAGCAGCACTATTCATAATATTCAACTCAAACGCCCATCGACAGAATGGAAAAGCTGTGATTTGTTTATAAAATGGAGTAGCTACACAGCCACTCAAAGGAAAGAACTACTGCTACACGCAATGGCTGACTCTCACAAACAGAATGTTGAAAGGAGCCACATTCAAGGTGTACATAATGTATGATTCTTTTTATACAAGGTTCAAAGCAAGCAAAACTCATCAATGATGGTAAAAGGCAGAACAGTGGTTACCTTTAGGGAGAATCGATTATGACTAAGAGGAGACATGAGAACATGTCTGTGATGCAGCAACAGTCCCTGTCTTCATTTGGGTGATAACTACTTGAGTATAGTCACTATATTAAAAATTCTTCGACGTCTACACACTTAGGATCTGTGCACTATAGCTATGTTATGTCCCAGTAAAAAGTTCAGTTAAAAAAAAAAAAAAGATGCCTTAAAACACATGGAGGGCACAAGAGAAAGCACAGAAAATGGAGAGAAGGTTAGAGAGAGAATGACTAGAAGAAATATACAAGGTGGAAAGAAAAACAGTTGCCTGCATTTGGTTTCAAGGAGAATGCTCTCCATCACAGTTATGTGAATATTTTCTAAGACATCTTTATCCACTTAATTTTCTGTTATTATGAAAGATTGAATGTTTTCTTTGCTGATCTAAATTCAGCTCATTTCTCTCGGTCTCTTACCTGCTTTGGATAAAAATAAGCTCATTCCACCAGAGCCTGAGCCAGCTTCCAAAACAGTATCCCCTGGGTGGATATCCATCATCAACAGTATCATACTCATATCCTATGATTGAAACATAGTATGGGTGACTCAGTGTCCAATAAATATGTACTAAGCACAGACTCTTATCAAACACTATGTTAGACCTGGAAAAGAAAGGAGTGAAAAAGAGTATTAAAATCTGGCCCAGATTTTACTTCGAAATAAGAGATTCAGCAATCAATTAGCAAATAAAGAAGCACTTCAGCATAATACCAAAATTACAGACAGTACGTAGCAATAGAAGCCCAGAGAATAGTGGTATCAGCAGAAGGCCCTCGCTTAAAGACACAGAGAATTTAAGGAAACAATCACGAAGTAGAAATGGTATTAAAGAAAACAGAGGTAGAATAAACACAGTTTCCTCATCTCAGAAGAAGAGAAAAGGAGAGAACTGAATGCCAGGCTAAAGCACTTGAACTTGACCTGGTCAGTAACTGGGGCATGTCACCAAGGTAATATACATGGCATTTTATGAAGATTAATCTGACAGGGAAATGCAAGATATACTAGAGAAGAGAAAAATTAGACCCTAAGACCAGTTAGGAAGTATTACATAATCTCTGTATGAAAGGAAATGAACTTCTCATTTAGCATTAGAATACCAGTGATAAATAGGACCTATTTCACAAACGCTATAATTGAAGAATTGTTAACAGGAGTGTCAGGGATAATAATAATAATAAGGGCTATTTATTGAAACTTTACCATGTGCCAGGCTTCTTTAAGAATACAAATTGCTTTCATAAACTTATTTAATCAGGACAATAATATGAGAAAACTATCATCATCCCCATTACAAAGACAAATCAAAGACGTTAAGTAATTTTCCCAAAGTCACACAGCCAGGAATTAACTGGACAAGTCAGGAGTAAAATGGATGTTGAACTCACAGAGACCACGCTGTTGATCATTAACACTATACCACTTGTTATACAGAAAATTTTAAACATTAGCATGTATTTCAACACTACCCCATCTGAACCTTTGAAAATTGCTAATAAATAAGCAGCACATCTGGTAAGTTTTACTAGCTTTTCCTTCTCTGGAAAAAGCTGCTGTGAAAATTCTTAAAGAGATTTCTAGGATCCTGTCGAGTCACAAAAAATTGTATATTAAATATAGGTTTGGTTGCATAAGAAAATGTTCAACAGGTACAGCTGTCCAATTAAAAGCCAAAATGTATTTTCTGAAATGAAAGGCTAAGGCTTGGGCCAAATGATACACAGACACATAATTTTTAAGATATATTAGTCCAAAAGTTTCATTCACAAATGCTGATTCTTTCAGACATACATAACATCTCCCCAAATGCCAGGCACCTAGGGGTAGAGTGGGGAGGGAGTACAATTTCACACAGCAGTAGGAGCAGCTTGGGTAGTTTTAACAGTGGAATGTCCTGCAGAAGGCGATTCTATTTTCTTGGATCACATAAAATAAAGAACCCAACTATTATGAAATAAAAACTTAAGCACGCTTTAGCTTTTGCTTCCCGCTATTCAGGTTACATGGTATCAATGGGATGAGTTTTCTAGACTGGATTTCACCATATATATTCTAGCAATTTCAGTTCAAAACTTGGGGAGGGGGGACGTTAGCATTTAATCATTTCCCTACGTCTTCCCAAAAGGGATTTAAAGCTATTGGGAGAGTCCTCCAGAGTTACAAACTATCATTCTACTATTGAGTTTTCTGCATTTTTAAAAAATTTTATTAACATATAATGTATTATTTGCTTCAGGGGTACAGGTCTGTGAATCATCAGTCTTACACAATTCACAGCACTCACCATAGCACATACCCTCCGCAATGTCTGTCACCCAACCACCCTATCCCTCCCCACTACACCCCCCAGCAACCCTCTTAATCCTGAGATTAAGAGTCTCCTGTGGTTTTTCTCCCTTCCTGGTCCCATCTTGTTTTGTTTTTTTCCCTCCCTTCCCCCCACGACCCCCCCACCCTGCCTCTCAAATTCCTCATATCAGAGAGATGATACAATAATTGTCTTTCTCTGACTTATTTCGCTTAGCATAAACCCTCCAGTTCCATCCATGTTGTTGCAAATGGCAAGATTTCATTTTTTGATGGCTGCATAGTATTTCATTATATATATATATATATACGCATATATATGCATATATATATATATACACACACACACACACACAAACATACACACACACACACCCCACATCTTCTTTATCCATTCATCTGGTGATGGACATCTAGTTTGGCTATTGTGGACATTGCTGCTATAAACATCTGGGTATAGGTGCCGCTTCGGATTGCTACACTTGTATCTTTAGGGTAAATACCCAGTAGTGCGATCGCTGGGTTGTAGGGTAGCTCTATTTTCAACTTTTTGAGGAACCTCCATGCTGTTTTCCAGAATGGACTTCAGGTAACAACAACCCTTTCAAACTTCCATTTTTCCTCAACATGAATTCCAGTCTCTTTCTTGATTAATTCAGTAATATAAATCTAACCCTCAGCCGAAAGATTTAATAAGTAGGCTGCACTTAGGCTTCATTAAGTTGCAACAATTTCTACTCTCCCTTTGTTCTTCTGTTAAGTGCCACAATCATGCATATCAGCAGAAAATATTAATTTTAAAAATTTGGGGAGCAGGAGCGTCTGGTGCTTCTATCAGGTAACCGTCTCGACTCTTGGTTTCCCACCCAGGTCATGATCTCAGATTCCTGAGATCAAGCCCCATGTCAGGGTCTGCATTCAGCACTGAGTCTACTTGAGATTTTCTCCCTCTTCCTCTGCCTTTCCCACATGTGCACTCTCTCTCTCAAAAAAAAATAAATAAGTATTTTAAAATTTAAAAAAATAAAAAATAAAATTTGGGGAATGTTTCCATTTATATTTCTACTCCAAACCTAAAAGTGCTTGATACTGACCAACGTGAAATGTTGACATTTCACAAGTATCTGTTAGGAAGTTTATTTGAAATTACTCCCACAAAAAATAAATAAATTACTCCACAGATCTACTTTTACTATTAAGACAAAACTATGTAATTCTAACACAGAGGCCAGCTTTCAAGTCAACTGAGGTACTCTCTCTCTTTTTTTTAAAGATTTATTTATTTGACAGAGAGAGAGAGATCACAAGAAGGCAGAGAGGCAGGCAGAGAGAGGGGGAAGCAGAAAGCCCGATGCCAGGCTCGATCCCAGGACTCTGGGATCATGACCTGAGCCGAAGGCAGAGGCTTGAACCCACTGAGCCATGCAAGCACCCCTACTGGGGTACTCTCTTAAAAAGCATTTCAAAGTTGTAAAGGTTGAAGTCAAATTTCCTGTAGCCACCACTTGGGAAATAAAAAGAGAAGTCAACACCTAGAATATTTAGTATTTAAAGTCCTGTTTAGGATGGAGGGGGTACGTGGGTGGTCAGTTAAGCACCTACCTTCAGCTCAGGTGGAGCCCCCGCATCAGGCTCCTTGCTCAGCGGGGAGCCTGCTTCTCCCTCTCCTCTCCACTTGTGCTCTCTCAAAGAAATAAAATCTTTAAAATAAGTAAATACATACATACATGCATACATACATACGTAAATTCCTCCTTAGAATGGAGCACTGTGACTTTTATCTGTAACAAATGGAAAGGCAGAAAGTGCACTAAAGATTCAGCTTTATAACTTTATAAAATACAACTATTCTCTCAGTTTTGTCTAGTGAGGAGGAAAAAAGATGTGGGGAAGCAAGATAAAATTATGAAAGTCTTCTTTTTTTTTTTTTTTTTTTGGAGCTAGATTGAACAGTCAGAAAAGGAAAAAGAAAATAAGAAAAAGACAGTTTCTGTCAAGAGTTTATGGTACCCCCCTGGCCTAAAGCCTCAAAAGATTTTCTTAGTCCCTTGGTAGATCTTTTAAAACATAAATTGGAGGGGCACCTGGGTGGCTCAGTGGGTTAAAGCCTCTGCCTTCGGCTCAGGTCATGATCCCAGGGTCCTGGGATCTGCTCAGCAGAGAGCCTGCTTCCCCCTCTCTGCCTACTTGTGATCTCTGTCTGTCAAATAAATAAATAAAAATCTTTAAAAAAAAAACCATAATTGGATTCCTACTTAGAATATTCCAGTGGTACCCAATGCACATGGAATAACCACATGTCATACCACTCTCCCCCTCACCTAACTCACTCAAGCCATTATAGCATCTCTGCACTACTCTTCCCTTTGTGAGAACACTGGGCTCCAAGATCTTTGCATGGCTGGGTTCTCCTTATATAAGGTTTCTTATCTAACATACCTCTTTTGAGACCTTCTCTAACCATCTGACATAAAGTATTCTCTTCCCCCAGATCACCCAGCATGTCATTGTTAATCTATTTGTCTTCATGGCACTTAGCACTACCTGCAATTATCTCAACCTTTCATTTACTTGTGTGTTCTCTGGCACCCCTTATAGGATGTAACATCCAGGTTGAGAGCAAGGACTGGGGCTCATCACCATACCTCCCCTATAATAGTACCCTGATTATAGAAGATATGTAATTATTTGCTGAATGAATGATGAATGACTCTTCATCTGGGGATAGGAATTGTTACAAAGGAATATTCTACCCAAGGACTGTGACTGTGATTAAAAAACTGAAATAAACCTAGCAATGGATGATTCATATGAAGTTGTAACAAGAAACTAGGCAGTTAATTTATTATACAGAATATTTCTTGTATGTTCAGTGTTTAATGTTAGCTGTTTTAATAGAAAACTATTTTTTCCCTAAAGAGAAATGCACAGTAACATATCTACCATTGATGAAACATACACCTAGTAACACGCTTTATTTAATTAAATGATGATTAAAATATTTTCGTAATGGTACCAAAGGGTTGAACATTCTCGAATCCTGAACTTGTAAATTTAAGGGTCATGGGGGACAAACATAAGTGCCTGATTAGCTCACATAACATAACTCTATACATTAGGTCAATATTCTTTTCACTTTACAGATGAGAGAGTCAACACTCCCAGAATAAAAGTAAAAGGTGGCTGTTTCCTCCTAATATTCGCAATCATAACATATGTAAGTCCCATCCATTGTTGTTTGGTGGTTTTTTTTTTTTTTAAATCTGAGAATAAAAACTTTAAATGTTCTGAAATGTGCTTTACGCACATTTATCAGGACTGTAGCTGGGCTCTTTCTGGAACCAATACGCACCTAACTCCCACCGCATTACCTTAGGATACGTTATGGCAGGCCCTCTTTTCATCAGTAATACATAGTCTTCCAGTGCCGGCCTCCTCAGCATGAGCTGCTTACCGGAAGTCGTCGTCAGTATCTGGCCGGGAAACTTTCCCACGATCTCGCTGAATGGGACTCTCCCCCAGCTACTATTTAAGTGTCCGGCGTTACTCAACCTAAATAACTTTTTAAATTGTGTTTCTCTCTTCCCAGTCTCAGCTAAGATCAGCTCCCCAGCGCGAAAGGACCCCTCCCTGGAAGCTGGGTAGGAAGAGGAGCCAGGAAGCTCTTCTACCCCAGTCACGGACTGGGCCATGGAGGCGGGCAAGGGACCCCCGGAACCCTGGTGGACGGGACCGGGCTGGCCCCGGTGTCCGCTCGAGTCTTCGCGCTCTTGAGAGGGTGACTCCTCTTGCGGCGGCGTCTGTCTGAGAACCTCCAGTGAGGAAAGACATCCGATCCCAGTGCCTCGGACGCGCAGAGGGAGAGATGGAGGCTCTGTGCTGGGGGCTTTCCTCTGTGACGCTTCACGTCGTCCCTCTCCGTCTCGTGCGTTTCTAGGACAGGATTCGCAACACAATGACCGGGCTGTCTCCAAGAGCTCTCGCTCAAGGCCCCGCAGGAACGGAGAAGCTCGGAGCCCTAGCCACCTCCTGGGGCGCCGCAGCCGGAGGAGGACCAGACCTCGCCGGCCCGCTGACAGCATGGTGTCCGGCGCAGACGCCGTCGCACACAAGTGGCGTAGAGCCGGGCGAGGCCCTCCCCCGCTGGACGTACTGACGCAGCCGTCAGGGTATCCGCCGCTTTTTCGCCGGAAGAGCTCCGCAAACTGCGCATGCGTTCAGGGGGCGGGGTAGTCCTAATGGGGGGCGGGGCGCAAGGGCTGCGGGGTGTCGCTGAGTAACTGTCCCAGGAGCGAGTCACACTCTGGGGCAGGGGCACATTTTCCTCTTCGGAATGTGTGCAGAGTAAACAGTTGGCCGCTGACAAATCCCCACCAGCCTCACGCTGGGGACAGGAGGATTAAGAGAGACAAAGCCTGTCAAAGTGCTGTGTAAACTGAAGTCCTGGACCAGGGTCGGCTCGCTGGTCATCAGAAAGAGGAACGTCACATGGTCACCCCAAGATGTAGGAATTAAAAAGCCCAGAGATGCGTTGGACTGTCGCCTTTTGGAAGGGCCACCCGCTGATCCCCGTTCCTTTCCAACTGACTGCGAAGTTCTTCCCCCGCCAGCTTTAGCAAGTCCCTTCGACTGGGCTCTGACTGTCTGCTTGCCTGCCCCAGGCTTAGGGAGTCGAGGAGGGCCGACTGAAGTTACTCACTGGGTTCTTATTTAGCAGAACTGTTTCTAATAATTAAAATATAACAGTTAATTCTTTTACTACCCCTAAAACTCAACAGAATCTTCTTTAAGGAGGGGAAAAGCCGTTGCTAAAACAGGGTTGTAGGGCAGAAGGGTATTGCTAAATTTAATCCCCTCAAGATTCATGCATTGAAGTCCCAGTATCTCGGAATGTGACTGTATTTGGGAATAGGTTAAAGAGGTAATTAAGTTAAAGTGAAGTCATTAATGTGGGACCTAATTCACTATGAGTGGTGTCCTTATAAGAAAAGGGGATTAGAACACAGGCACGCTTGGAAGATCGGCTAAAGACAGGCAGCAGATGTCCATCTACAAACCGAGACAGGCCTCAGAAGAAACCAAACCTGCAGACAACTTGATTTTCGACTTAACATGCTCCAAAACTGTGAGAAAATTAATTTGTTGTGTAAGAAAAAAAAAAAAAAAAGATTATTTGCATTTTCTCTCTTTTTTTTTTTAATTGAATCTGTTTAAAAATCATTTATTCCAGGGATGCTTGGGTGGTTCAGTCGGTGAAGCACCTGACTGTTGCTTTCAGCTTAGGTCCTGATCTCAGGGTCTTGGGATTGAGCCCCTTATCTCCTCCCCTTCCCTCTCTTTCTGCTCCTCCCCCTGCTATCTCTCTCTCTATGTATATATAATAAATAAATACAATATATATATATTTTTTTAAATCACTTATTCCAGGTTTTGGCAGCCCAACCCAAAAGAGTTAAACAAAAACAAATTGATTTAATCCTAAAAATAAAACAAAGCCAGAAAAAGTTATCTTTAGAGTCCAAAGTCTAATTTGACATTAAATATCACTAACCTGTTTAATATTAATTCTCTTGGCAAAAGTTTATTGAGGGTTTGACAATACCAAGCACAGTAGATACTTAACTTCATTTAAATTTACAACAACCCTGTAGTAGAAATAAGTATTCCTGCTTTGTGCATAAGAAAACTGACCCAGGAAGATTAAATGATTTTGGCAACATCCCATAGCTGACAAATGGCATGACGGGGTTTCTGATCTAGGTCAGTCTGGTTCAGCAGCCCATGCTCTTTGTACTACAACACCCCCTCTCAAAGGCCAGTCAACAGTACAACTGAATTTAGAGTTAAAGTCAAAATATGCTCAAAGGGCTATGGGCTCAGTTTAAATTTAATAAAATAAGTTTTGTTTTCACTTTTGAAGACACAAGTTAGTACTTTCTAAACTGTGCTCTCTAAAACATCAGCCATCACAAAAATCCATTATCAGGGTTTCTCTCTTTTCAGTCCTAAAAATGAATAAAGAAACTGTTCTTGCCTCCACTCCACCTGTAGGTCTCATTTCTGGTTTTGATTTTTTTAAAGAAAGTTTTTATGACCAATCTTTTTATTTTACTGTGAAATGAAGGCCTGAGTTGAACTTCCTGAATCCTAAGCCCTATTAATGGTTTTCAAATTTATCATTCCTACTTTATTATCTCTTAAAGATGGTTAAATGATATTTGGCTATTATTTCAGAAGGAGTAGGACTTGGAAAGAAGAAGCTATATTGACAAAAGGGGAAAAAACTTACATCTCTTTGATTTCTAAGATAAACTATAAACAGTAAATGGCATCCCATTATATTGTTTGAATAAGAAAGGATGTTATGTTTTATCCTATACACATCTAACTTAATTATGTTGAAAAACATAATTATTCCTTATTTATTCATGATCTTTCAGAGCATTTAAGCTCTTAAAAAAAGGTCACTATATGTGTCTTTCTATTTTTGGCTATACTTTTCCTTTTCCTTCTGCCTTCCCTATGAAACAATCAGCCTGCACTCTGAAACTGTTATCTGACAGTATGAGGCAGCATCAACTCATCATGTTTACGTTATAAGATCAGAAAGACACTGTCTTCTAGTGGCATTTAGTTGAGCAATTACTTTAAAGCCCAAATAGTTGTCAAGAAGTACTCTGGCTAATGACTGACATTTTTAAATCTCCATTCAAATTAGATCATTACTTCTAATTCCATGGATGTGCTCCTCTACCTCTTTGTGTGTGCTTCTTTCTCGTGTTTTGTGTAATTTTCCCCTCATCCTTCAGCTATCAGCCTCACCAGAATGGGAGCTTACCGTAAGTCGAAATCACTGGGAGAAGTGCCTCTCCTGGTATATCCTGTCTTCAGACCAACCCTCCACAGTACATGTCAGATTAAATGAAATCACTTTATTTACCATTTTCCCAAGTTGGAGGATAAGATTGTGGAGAGGGCTGTGTCTAATTCATTATTGTAATTCCATTGCCCGTCATAGTGCCTGGAACAAAATGTGCCCTTGATAAATATTTGTAATATTAAATAACAAATAAATATTTGTAATATTAATAAACGAATGAAGAAAGTAGGGAATGAGAAAAACAGTAGTCCTGATACCTAAGTGACTATACTGAATAATTCAGCATGCAAATATGACCCAAATATATTTAATACTTGTGTATTTCATTGTATATCTTTACATGTATCTAAATTTTATTTTATTTTTTAAAAGATTTAGTTTATTTGAAAGAGAGAGAGAGCACACACAAGCAGGGTGGAGGGACAGAGGAAAGAGGAAGAAGTCGACTTTCCGCGGAGCAGGGAGCCCTATGCAGTGCTCTATCCCAGGACCCTGAGATCATGACCTGAGCTGAAGGCAGAAGATTTAACCCACTGAGCCACCCAGGCGCCCCCGTAATTTTTTTTTTTTAAGATTTTTTTTTAAGATTTTTTTTTTTTTTTTTTTTTTGACAGACAGATCACAAGTAGGCGGAGAGGCAGGTAGAGAGAGACAGGAGAAGGAGGAAGGCTCCCTGCTGAGCAGAGAGCCCGATGCGGGACTCGATCCTAGGACCCTGAGATCATGACCTGAGCCAAAGGCAGAGGCTTTAACCACTGAGCCACCCAGGCGCCCCGCCCCCGTAATTTTTTTTAAACTTTTAGTGAAAGATAAAGTATTTAAATCTGAGAATATAACTGCTTTTCTCTTGCTTTTTCACTTGTTTCCGCAGTCACTGCTGAGCTCGAATCTGGCTTCTGTAGAACTCCTCCAGGATTTACTGTTGTGTATTAGAAATGGAGGAAGTCAATTGAAGGAGGTCAAAAGGTACAAATTTCTAGTTATAAAATAAGTAAGGCCTGAGGATGTAATGTATAATGTGGTAACGATTGTTAAAAATATTGTTTTTTAAAGATTTACTTATTTATTTATTAGAGAGAGAGAGAGAGAGAGAGAATATGAGTGGGGGTGGGGGGGGGCAAAGGGAGAAGCAGACTGCCTGCTGAGCAGGGAGCCTGAAAAGGGCGCATTCCCAGGACTCCCGGATCATGATCTGAGCTGAAGGCAGGTGCTCAACCAACTGAACCACCCAGGTGCCCCAACAATTATTAATATAGTGTTGCATGTTTGAAAGTTGCTAAGAGAGTACATCTTAAAAGTTCTTACACTGCCTCGATACTGTAGCTTAATTGTTAGTTTTGAAATCAGGTAGTATGAGGATGCCAACTTTGTTCTTCTTTTAGATAATCATTTCACTTCGCATAAGAATTAATTTACCAGGGTCACCTGGGTGGCTCAGTGGGTTAAGCCACTGCCTTCGGCTCAGGTCATGATCTCAGGGTCTTGGGATTGAGCCCCACGTTGGGCTCTCCGCTCAGCGGGGAATCTGCTTCCCCCTGCCTCTCTGCCTGCTTGTGATCTCTCTCTCTTCATATAAATAAATAAAATCTTTAAAAAAAACTAACTTCTGGAATTTCCTTTAAAAAAAAAAGAATTAATTTACCAGTTTCTACAAAAAGTCCTGCTAAGATTCTGATAGGGATTGTTTTGAATTTGTAGAACAAACAGTAGAATCACTGTCTTGACAATATTGAGTTTATTAATTCATGAACATGCAATGTCTTTTCATTTATTTAGGTCTCCTTTAAGTTTCCTCCGCAATGTTTTATACTTTTTAGAATATAAGTCTTGAACTTTTGTTAATTTTTTCCCCAAGTATTTTATTTTTTCTGGTGCTACTGGAGATGGAGTCATTCTCAATTTAATTTTGATTGTCCGCCAATAGAATGAAGAAATATCATTGGTTTTATATATTAATCTTGTATCTTGAGACCTTGGTACATTAATTATTAGGTTTAGAATTTTTGTGGATTTCTTGAAATTTTCTATAGGTCATCTGTGAATAAAAATACTTTTACTCCTTTCTCCCCAATTTGGATGCTATCACCACCATCATCATCATCATTATTTACTTTATTGCACTAACTGGAACCTTCAGTAAAATATTGAATAGAATTGATGTGACATTAATTTTCAATCCTGGGAGGAAAGCATCAATCTTTCACCATTAAGTATGAAGTGAGCTGTGGTTTT